CGGCAGCTGTGCGGATGCACAAAGAAGCGCCTAAGGTCCACCACTCGAACAAGTCGATTGGATCGGGACATGGGTGTACGCCTAGCGGGCGACATCAAAGGAAGAATAAACCAGTTGCACACACAAGGAAACACGATGACCCTAATTTGACTCGAAAGTCGATCGTTAAAGACCTAACTGTGGTAGCGCAACCACAGCTAGAAGAAGTCGAGGGAATAAGTCTCCACGTACTTAATAAAGGCATTTCTCAAGCATTTTTATTGATGAAGTAACAAGACTTCATTAACCTGAGGGAACAAGTCCTCAGCAGCTTGTGGAAAAGGTTTTTCAGATAAAACTAAAAAATTGGACGTCCCGGTTAATGACAGGTCAAGTGTAGGCGCTTGTACATTTGATCTGATCGCGCCTACGAATTTGACTTCAGAGATCACACGATTGCCAACGAAAGAACCTGAGCGGGTCTTGCGAGATCTTCGCAGTGACAACGTCAAGCAGATCTTTATACTTGTCAAAGAGGACGAGTGCGTGATCGCCATTCGGTTTGCAGTGGTTTATGGCGAAAACGAACGGGTTCTCAGAAGCTCATCAATACACAAATGTGTCCTCGATGAGAAGACTCGGATTGATTGATACGCGTCTAAATCTTATGAGTCGCTTCAGGCAAATACTTTATGCAAGAATTGATCGAATTAAAGGACGTATTTCCTAAATCCGTGCCATGAGATTTTCATAAGGACAAAGATACTCAACATGAAATTGAGATCAAACTAGGTTTAAAGTACTGTTTCATGAAGAAGTGGCTACTTCCTCGTGAACAAGTACTTGCGATCGATAATTTCTTTGCCGATCGCTTAGCTTCGGGTCATGTGAGGGTGTCAACTTCCTCCCGCAGCTCTCCGAACTTCTGTGTGCTCAAGGCAACAGGAGGGTGGTGCTTAGTGCACGCGCTTTACGAATTGAACGCTGCAACGGTACCGGCTCAGAAGCCAATACTTATTAAGGACGTAATCATTGATGGTTTGCCAAAAAGTACCATCTTTTCGTCCATAAATATGATAGACGGGTTCTATCAGATCCTCATGCGTGAACGGGACATCCCGTACACAGCAGTGAGAATCTCCAGCACTATGCCGCAAGAGTGAATATTGATGCCACAGGGGCTGCGTAACGCCCCTGCATAGCTCAATAGATGTGTATCATATCTGTTGATACCTGCGCGAGCTTTTGCACCGAGTTACTTTAACGATGCCTTCGTCCATGGCCAGGATATGATAGGAAAGACTGACGTAGAGGTTCATAGAAAACACGTCCGAAAGGTTCTTACACTTATGCAGAAGAAAAAGCTGTATTTAAGCCTGGAGAATTGTATATATGCTGCCATCGAAATACCACTTCTTAAGTGCATCGTGGGTAAACACAGTGAACGCCCTGTCCCCAAAAATATCAAGGCGATCATTGACTGGCCTGCGCCATTCAACGTTAAGGGACTCATATATGCGTTTGGTCTAGAGGCGTACTTGCACAATTATTCGCGCAACTACGCCGAGATGACCGATTATCTTTCCCGTCTTTTAATATGTAATGAGAAGTGGCCATGAAAAGCTGATTGTCAGAGTTCCTTTTAAGATGTCAAGCAGAGCTCGATGCTATTGCCCATATTGTCGATTGCAAATCAGGACAGACCATTCCACATGGTCTTTGATGCCAGCGATTCTGTAATTGGCTACGCGTTAGTGCAGTACGATGAAGACGCCGCAGAGCGCGTCGTCTGTTATCAGTTGCATCAGCTGCAAGCAGCTGAGCGTAATTATCCAGTGCATGCCAAGGTACCTCTGCCCATGAAGTATGCTAGCAAAGTTTTGCGTCAATCCTCTTAGCGATTGACCGTATGTAGTCTATGCGGACCATGCGTCATTACGCAAGGCCGTAAAGAGCCCATACCTCTCGCAAAAGATGGCGAGGTGGCTGTCATTTGTGCGGAGTACAACTTCTCCGTGGAGTACAAACCCGTACGACTTAATGTCGTCGCGGATGCGTTAACGCGCCGACTTTACTTCGAGTTGACTGCGCAGTCCAGCTGTGGCATTGAGACTACAGTTGCAATACTAGTCACTGATGTTCCGTCGTCAACCTTACTTGATGACATAAAAAAGGCCTACGCAGACCAAAGGCCCTTTTTTTAACTAATGGATCATCTAGTGAATTCATTTCGCAAATCTTTCAAAGATTCATCAGCCTTTTATCGATCTTTCTTAGATCGATACACTACACGCAACGGGTTGATATTTTATATAGCCTTTGCAGGCGACATACCTTGAGTCTTCATTTCCGATTACAAACAATTGCGCTTGCGCGTCTTACAAGAGTGCCATGATGCACCACCTAGTGGGCATCGTGGGCGTGAGAAAGCCTATCTCACGGTTAGCCGCGACTTTTACTGGCCCCTTCATTATCAGTTTGCGCCCAAGTACATTCGTTCTTGCGAGGTATGCCATCGAGTGGAGCCCGTTCCTTCTACCAGTGCGCCACTACAGCCTCTACCTACCCCGACATAGTGCTGGCAGTCAGTTTCAATGGACTTCCTCTTCAGTTACCCTGAAGGCGCTCACAAAAAGAATGGTATTCTTGTGTTCGTAACCGACTCAGCAAGATGGTACATCTTGCTGCTGTCAATGAGATGATCTCAGAGCATGGTTGTGCCCGTGTCTTCACTAAAACGGTATTCTGATTTCGCGATCTACTCCGTAAACTAGTCTCTGAATGAAATTCTCGGTTCAAAACGGCGTTTTAAGAAACTGTGTTCTGATCTATCGGAATACGTCTAGCTATGTCTACTTATGACTATACCGAGACGGATGGTCAAACAGAACGCGTCAATCGCGGTCTCCAAGAGACACTTCAAGGATGCGTCCAATTCTTCACAGATTGGAGCGAATTTCTGTCGATGGTGGCATTTTCAATCACAACTCCGTGAATGCGTTGACAACACATTTATCATTATAAATGGCTCACGCCATCCACGCCTTCCTACCCACTTAGAGTGTGACTCTATTAAAAGATGGGGGAGGGATTCGTTTGAGCAAAACCGTTATTAATCTTTCTCATTACGTGGCGAGATACTTGACGATGCGGACGTTGCTAATTTTGATCTAGTCGATATCGAAGGAGATGACCTCAGCATTAGTGACGACACTATTTTTACCCAGATGAGAATGACGATTCTGGTACATTGAGCTATGCCAACGGCTACACCAGCAAGGATGAGAACACCCTCGCTGACAAAAAGTGACCTCCTAGCAGTGCGCACAAGGCGCACTGGAGCAATTTTAAGTAAGCAGAAGATTTACTGCTTGCAAGAGTAGCAGTAGTCCGAATCATGGATAAAAATCCATCGCTAGCATAGCGGACCGGTAGAAATTAAAATCTATAAAAACATGGAAGAGCGAACGTTCTTCTATTTAATGTTGGAGACTTAATTCTTCGGAGAATCCGCATAAGCGCGTAGTAACTAATGTGGGTAGTAGTGAACTACCACCCAAGTACATCGGCCTGTCATGTGTGCTATATCACTAAGGCAGTGAGTAAACGATCGAGTTGCCTCGCAGGATGCTTGCACATCCTACTTTTCACGCCGGTCTCCGCCCGTACTATCAGCACGAGGTCTTTTCCTCGGTCGAATGCAAATGCCACGCTCAAATACCTCCGACAGATTCTTTTAGTCCTGAGCCAATTTATCAATTTGGATCTGAAGCGCCGCATTCTCGTGACAAATGTCAGACACTTCGTCGAGAAAGAGTTTACGCCTCTGCTCTTTCTCCTATTGGTATAACGCAAACTCCGAACGGTCGTCTGAGCGGTAGAGGCCGATGCGTTGCACCTACGCCTCCAATTCGAGACGCTTCTGTCGCCTATGATCTGTTTGGTCGCACAGATCGTGTAGGCCATGCTGGATACAACCTACACTTGCCTGAAACTCCAACAAATCGTTCGGAGTTCATCTTCTTACCTTCACCACAGCTATTGGTGGAATAGCACGGTGGTCAGCGCTTTTATGTGGAGCGTATCGTGAACTACCGTGTCGTGAAAGGGCAGCGAGCGAGTTGTCTTGTTCGCTGGCGCGGCTATTGGCCATCGCACGGCCGCTGGAAGCCTCGCACCCAGCTAATGATTGGCGTTAAAGGTCTTGACCACCAGTACGACAAGGCACATCCGATAACTTTGAAGGGCCATAGGAAACACGCGCCCATGGCACGGATAGAGCGATTTCAGGCTATCGATCACATCGCGCATCTTAGAAGAGATGTGCGGTCTACCCTAGGGAGAAGAAAGGGAGCATAAATTACTTTGGATGCGTTAAGTGTTGTCAAATCAACACGGACATGGGTCGGCCCACGTAAGACGTGAAATTTCTGCCTCGCGAGACATAAAGTGCAATTAAACTTTTGCACCAGTCAAGTTTGGTCCTTTCGAACCTTGCACGAGCTGCGTTAAATTTCTGAAGCCAAGCTTCGCGACCAATATGCTGCACATGAAGAAGGAAGGCGTTCAACGCCTGCAATATGAGCTATTCTCTCGCTTGTTGTTGCTGCCATACCAACGATGCTTCAGAACAGCATCGAGATACAAGTATTCTTCAGCGCAAAACTTACCAGCGCTATGTTGAGGCCGTGACACAACCTTGATAATGAAGACTTGTCTCGCCCGACATGTCAATCATAACTCTGTATGTTAGAACCCAAGTCTTGTGTTTAGGAGATAGACGCAGCACATTGCTGTCTTGAGCCTCCTGCGTGGTATTAACGGAAGTATTGGTACAACTGAATTTTCATCACAACGGCGCAAATCATCTTCGCATTCGCTAGGTGGCAAATGCGCAGTATCAGGCGCCGAGGGGGGTCAGCTTTCTCATCTTACTAACTGAAGACACTCTTGTAGTGACCATGAGTCTTACTACCCGCTCGAGTGCTGTTTAAACGCTTGTGCTTGGTCGTCATTTGAGACTAGGGCGAACTAGACGTCTTCGTCGAGTCGGATTTACCGTCCCACTCCCCGGAATAGATGAGCTCCATTCGGGAGAAATCATCATTTGCACGTGGTGAACCACCACGTGCCTCTGCAGCAACTGGAGCTGCAGAAAGAGTTGCAGCGACAGCAGACGAAGCGTCGTCTGCCGCGAAAGACTGGGCATTGTCAAGAGTAGCAGTGCTATCACGCGCAGCTGCCTTTTCAGCAGCTTTCGCCGCGCATCGCATAAACCTGCTTACCATGCGATGAATAATCAGAAATGAATGTATTGGACCAACTTAAGTCTCTTCTGTCCTTGATGTGGTCTATTAGCGACCATATCAACATGATAGCGATTGAGTGACTATCGTTTAAAGAGAGGGTGATGGATGTAACGGGGTAAGCCTGTTACATGCAATTAACCTTTTGATACTTGTTCATTTGATATTATCATAAAGATTGACCGTGTTTGCAAATATTACCATAGGGGGTAATATTTAGAAACGCTCACCAATTGGCTGATACGATGAATTATATCGTATTCAACTGCTTCCTTGCTTCTGATTGGTGTATTTGAAGCGCCGGGTCGCCGCAGCACTGTGGACAAAGTGGGCCTCTTTCGAGCCAATCGCAGCTGTCTTGACTTGAATTGGGTAAACAAACTTTGGTTTGGGTACTCACGAGCTTCGGGAAATGCCGACCAGTAGTTTCAGATATGTTCGAGACGAAAATTGATCCTTTCGAAAACGCAGAAACGATGCCTGGCCGCCGTGTAAGTGAACTATGGGCTTACTTTAGCAAGAATCTACTAACCAAGCGCGTGAGATGTAATTACTGCGACCATAACATGGTTGGACTTCTCCCCAAACATTTAACTCAAAAGTGTCCGAACTGCCCCAAACCGCTTCAAGCAGCCATGTTGACACCACTATGATTCGCGAAGAATACACCACAGGTTCATCTGACTGTAGTTCACTATACCTCTCAAACGATATTCACTAAGTTGCCTTTTTTCGTTCGTCTACAGCTCGTTCCATCATCTCATCCAAACCCGCCGTCAGAAAAACACGCCCATCCAACGACCAGCTCCATGTTCAATCTGTCACCAAATGTGTAGCTCGACCTAAAGTTCCAGCTCAAATTCAAACTCGAGGTCGAGCTCAGATTCGAGGTCGCACTTAGAGTTGCCAAGAAAAAAGCACGTTCTCGTGACCTGCTCGCAGCCTGATGCACCGAATTCGACGTGTTTCAACGTCTATAACGTGGCAAAACGCACAGGGATAAAGCGCGAAACTGGTGCTTCGAACGGGTTCGTGGACGAGATCGAGGATGTTCTGACGCACTGGGGAACGACGAGACTTCCTGTCGTTGTAACGGATACTACTGAGAGCATGGTACAAGCAGCACGGAGGCTACAGCACAAGTACCTGACAGTTGCGTTCTTACCCAGCTGTGCGCATACAACGACGGCCGTGGTGACTGAAACACGTGCAGCGACCTGGTACGGGATAACCTTGGATGCAGCACGATGGCTGTGGCTTGGAGCTGAATCAGGTCCGGGATCTGGCTGGGGCATTGAGTGATCCATGTGGTGTAAGTTCTAGTGGGCTGCTGGAATGCCTGTTTGCCGTGATGCGCCATCGCGAGGCAGTGGACGCGTTTGTCGCTGGTGAAACGAGCATGTGCAATGCGGATGTGTCGATTAAGGAGTGGGTGGCTAGTCTCAGTTCCTGGGCGCAAGTGTCGACGGTTACTGAAGAACTGGAGCCTTGTCGCGAGATCATGAACCTGGTCGAGTCGGATTCTCTACTTTTGTCCACGTTCTGTCACCAGTTTACGCAGCTGTGGGGACACGTACGTGTCGACAAGTACGAGAGTCTTGCGACAAAGGTTCGGTGTATTATGTCAGAGTACTGGCAAAAAATGCAGCACGCATTGATGTATACAGCTTACCTTCTAGATCCGCGGTTTCCGCCATCAAGTCTGTCAGGGGAAGCCACGAGCGAGGCGCTTGCGGCGTACATCAAGCGAATATCCAAAGCCGAGGTCCAAAACAATCGTGGACGAGTTGACTCGCTTTACAGCTCGGGTTGGCCTCTTTGCCGATGATGCTGTCTGGGAATCCGCGCAACAATGCAATCCGCTGCACTGGTGGAGAGGTTTCATCAGTGGGTCCTGTTTAAACTTGCAAGCGGTAGCACTGCGCACGCTGGGGTGTCCTATGACCTCTGGTCTTTCTGGCAAAAGACGCAAGACGTTTGAAAAGATCCTAACGATGAACGCGAAGTACATGACCGAGGAGCAGGCAATCAAGGCGGCAGTCGTGTACGTGAACGCGAACCTGGCGTCGCACGTTGAAGATGGCACGCACGACGGCACTCGCACAGAAAAGGTGTCTTTGCATTCCTGGCTGTCCAGACGAATGCTAAATCAACACGGGGCAATCGTTCGTCGCTAAGTCCTCGTACCATGTCTATTACGTTATTGCTGTTGCAGCGATCGCATCGACGAAAAACCGCTTGTGGCCCACAGCAGCGCTGCAGGTTCATTGTACCCCTCGCTCAGCATCTGCATCCTTCTGCACGGGTGACTTGAAGCATGCTGTAACCAACCTCTCTGCTCGAAGAACACGCACATCACGAACCAACACTGCACACCTCGACTCGGGCATCCAGCAAATCCACGTTTATAAAAAGATATCCAAAAATGCAGAGAACACAACGACAGCCGAGGGCATCCGCGCCTTTGCCGTCTTCAGAGCATGAGTCGCAATATTTCTTCCACCCGTGGACCGGTCGTTTCAATACTTTCGTTCAAACTCACACCAGCAACCCAATCGGCAGACCATGGAACACAGCCGACTGTTGTGCTCCACACACTCGAAAGAGGAGGACCGGCTGCACGAACCACACCCACGGCACCGCGAAGGAAGCCATGCAGCCATCACACGGCCTGACCCTTCTTTGGCAAACCAGTCACGCAGCACCGCCCACCCCGCAACTTTGACATTGCGTCTACTTGCTTTCACTGGTGCTTACAGGCTCAGCAGCCGTCGCTTTCTCCGGAGCAGCAGGCGGGTCAGCCTTGACTACGTCCAGAAAATTGCGCCCTCCCCATGCACCAGTCTTCGGCAACGACTCATCCACCGCAGGGACTGCAGCGGCTTTAGGCGCAATCTCAGCAGTCTTGGCTGCACTCTTGGCAGACTTTGCTTCTTCCTTAACAGCAGCTTTTTTCGAGGTGGTCTTGGAAACGGCCGGGATCTTCTTCGAGTCAACAACTGGGGCGGGAGCCGCTGGGGTGCCATTAATGACAGCCGCAGCGTAGCCGACAATCTTTGCAGGCACTACAGTCGTTTTTGCTGAAGAAGGCGGAGCAGAAATTGGCTTCGAGGACTGGATAGCGTTAGTGGATGCAGGTGCGCTCTCCACTTTTTGTTTGCGCTGCTCACGGGCATCCTTGGTGTACTCTTCACCGTACATCATACTCTCGTAATCAATAGATCCAACAGAGTCACTACGAATTGGCCGTCCTTGACGCATAGCATCACGAGCCTGCTCAATACTGTACGTGCGCTGGTTGCGCAACAAGTCTGGATGTGCTTCAGCGGTCAGAGCAGCCGGGTGTGCTGCATATTCCATCTCGCCTTCCGGCAGCATGCAATCCTTCTCGTCCATGTTCTTCACGATTTCCATGATGTCTTCGTGAGCGTACTTGTAGGTGATCACTTTCGACACTTCATCCTTTTCCAAAGCCGTGGGTAGCGGAGGGAAGTTCGCCGCGTTCATAATAGGCTGGCGTTCGGACGAGGTAGCGGGCGCGGGCTTTTTGCCGTCACTACTATCGTTCGTTTGCTGATGAACCGCCGCCTTCACACGATTGTCCTTATTCTTCCTAGGACCTCCAGCCCTCCGCTGCTCAGAGCTACCACTTTTCGGGCGGCCTTCTTTTTGATGATACATGCCAGGTCCATTGGACCGGTTCTGTCGGCCAAATCCACGGCCAGCAGCAGCGCCGCCACGCTGAAAGTTACCAGCATATCGTTCCTTCTCAGCACCATTATTGCTGTAGTTCGGACCTGCACGCGGGTCTAATGCATTATATTGGACGCCATAATTGTCGTAGAAGCCCACGTTGGGCGAGGCATAGTAGCCACGACCACCATACGGCGTACTCACACCGGGAGCAATGACGTTTTCTGCCGGCTGTGTAGGATAGAACGACTTGAGCATATTCTCTGATTTAAGACGAGCCTTGATTGCAGCGCCTTTGAACGTCTTGCTGCGTAGAGCAAGCAGCGTGCTCACCGCTTCAGCCTCCGTATTCATCGTTACAAACCACGTATCACCGACGTCGCTTCGTACACTGGCAACCTCCCCACAATCATGAAAAATGGCTTCCACTTCTTCCGGGTTCGTCGACGACGGGATCTCGCGCAAAATAATGGTCGTGCGCTCCGACTTGATGTTGGGCCGGATGGCGTCCTTCGACGAGTTGAGCGAGCAGACTGTCGAGTCCTCGACGGCCTCCACGAGCAGCGCCGTGTTGCTCGTGAGCTGCTTGATCTTGGAGAAATTGATGATAATATCCACCGGCACGTACCTATCGTGCACCACCACCACCACAACAACCTTCCATCAGTATAAAAAGCCTCCAGCACCAGATCAAAAAGACACTGTAAAACACAAAACACCCACGTCTGCGAGTTCATGTGGGAGACAAGGTACGCGTCATTGGCCAAGTTGGCACGGGAGAAGTAGAACTCCACTTGGCGCTTGATAGCGTCCTTCAGCGCTGTTCCTTCTGCATTAAAAACAGATCACGTTGCAATCGAGTCAGTCCGATTGAGTCCAACATATATACAGCCAAGTGTGCCCCTTTATTGCAACAACAGCACGCACCAAGAGGCTTTGTCTGCTTGGAAGCACTCATTTCGAGGTCTGTCTGATGCTGCGCTGCGCTTCGATTTGCCCACGTCTACGAGTCCTGTCTGGACGCGGTGCTCGAGTCGCAACTGTTTCGCTTTCACGCGTGTAGGGGCTGCTGGGTAGAGCAGTGACAGCGGCACCGGCAGCAGCAGCCGCAAGTCAGAGTCAGAATATGGAATGGATGGCGCCGACGGGTTGACGGGTAATGTATGTCTGCCACACGAAATACGTGATTTCACAGTCCCACGCCGGTGATTGACGTTTACTTACAGATATGTTTACATGTTGACTAGCAAGTATACGTGTATATTTAGATCATGACGTCTGCGCCAAGATGTCCACGATCGCAGAGGCAAGCGCGACCTGGTCCTCGAAACAAACACTTCGGAACTCGGGGACGTGCACGAACAGGATGATGTGCTGCAACTTGCAAAACAAGCAACACAACAATGACAAGTAGGATACCGTCATTGCAACTGTCGAAAAAAAAGGAGCTGTAGAAACTTACATCCAAGTGGTGTTTGACCGTCTGCCGGTTGGCCCACACGAGCGACCGGTAGTAGACGTAGTTGCAAACGAAGCGCCCCGGATCCGTCGAAATAGCCACTCGCGGGTCCACGCCCTGTAGAATCGCCAACACCTGATCCAGACACACTTTGGTCGTCATGTTGGCTGGCTCACCCTCGTGGATCACTTCGTTCTTGGCGACGTGGCCGCGCTCGTCCGGGATCCGAAAGTCCGCCACGTTGTAGCCCACTTGCTCTAGCAAGAGAGTGCGTGCGGTGGCACTTACACCAAAGTGCAGGAAGACACAGGGCCGTCCCCGCTCCTGCCAATCGCCATCACCATCAACGATAGCGTGTTAAAAGGCAGGATTCGACGAGACTGGACCCTGTACAATAGCTCTCTGCTCTCGTTTGCCTGTGTACCTCTGCTCTTGCGTACACGTCCGCAAGCGTCTGCTTACAGCCTGCATACACGGTGCAATGTGATTAGGAACTATCAAAGAGCATAAGTATCTACTCACACAAGTAACGGACAGACCTGCTGCAGAGACCTCGAGGACGTGCGTCTCGGTCACTTTCGGGTGCCCGCTGAGCTTTTCCGCCAGTAAGGTCGTCGGGTTTTCCAACATGTTGCCGAACTTGCCGAATCCAGTGACGTACACGTCCCTCTGTTTCAGCGACGGCGCTGCCTTGGCGGTAGTCGTGTCTTCCATGACGTCGGGATGAAATTTAGAACGTCGGAGGATGCCTGGCATAGATTAACCAAGTCAAGAAAAAGCGAGGTCAACTGAGATTGGAGCTATTGAGTGAAGGCTCGAGACGGGACATCCAAAGAGACTTGGATCGCAAACAGCACCGTCTTGAGCAGATCGTTACTTCAGATGCGGGTCTCTTACTTAACACGCTCAGCGATGAATCGAGTTGTTGGACAACTACTTTTCATGGCGTTCAAGAAGGCACGCCATAGTCGCCATCTCTCTCTCGAAACCGCAGTCAAACGGGACACCACTAACGAACAAGTTGTTGTCACCGGCTTCGATTCGGGCGCCCACTACTGGACATTACAAACGTCATTGCTTGTTAACCATTTCGTGTTCCGTGGATCGCCACGTTGTGCATATGATTGTCCACACCAGGTTAAAATAATCTGGCGTTGTTAGTGAAGGTAGAATGGTAGCATTAAGGCAGTGGATCAACTCGCGCTCATCCTGTTAAAGACGAGTCGACAAGCAGGTAACAGTTTTATCAAGCTTAGTGAAAGTGTGCAAGAACCACAGAAGGACTAGAGACGCTGTCAGTTGCTTCAGAAAGTCATTTGTTCTCATTTTTGTGCCATTGGTAGGACAGGCTACAACGCAAGAGTTTCAACGTACGCGAAGGATGATTGCATGGCTTTGTGGTTTCGACGCGAGAGTATTGCTATTAACAAGTGCCGGCACCGTGGCCATGTTATTGGAAACGCCTGCTGTCCGATCATTCGTTTGTTATTCGAATTCGAAGCTCGGCTTTGTTCGGAATGGATCCAGTGTTATCGCGTTGACTACCCAAGAAGTCCCAGAGAATAGATATACACCTGCGTTGCTAGAACGGTGCTCCAATAAGGTTATGCATCTTGATGGAAATCCACGCCAGCCATGATAGAATTCTGTACGCATGCGTGCTGATGATTCCTATCACAAACCCATCAGAAACACGATATTGCCGAACGAACGATCCAGATAAATTGCCATCGACTCAGTAGCGAAGCAAAGTCCACCGTGTTTAATGGCTTGTTTTTGCTTTCGTCCCTCACAAAATGCAACATCGATACAAAAAGCTAGACACCCACCGACTTCGAACCGAATCCGGTGATCTCTATGTATCCAGCTCGTTGACACTGTCAAGGTTCAAACGGCTGTAGCAAGTACGATCGGGATCGCCATCTCGACACTACCGTGTCTAAATCCTTTAGTTGCGGTGCAATAATCAGATGAGGGGATGTCTTACGTCTGTCATCGAGTGCGTGCAATCAGAATTTTGAGTACACGACAATACAAAACAGTAGTCGCCTACTCACAGCAAGTACGACTTCCTGTACGCTCAAAACGTCGGGTTTCATTGACTCAGTGCTAGAGCTACAGTCCCACAACATGTGCGAGTCAGCACGATCCAAAGGATGCCTGACGAGAAGAAGCAAGGCAGTACAACAACAACAACAGCTGTCACATGTGCACAGGTGCCACCGTGACTCTGTCCACAATATGCAAACAGGAGCCTCAATCAATGGCCCAGCCATCTCTATCCCAGACCACCCTTCCTGGTCTGCACGCTAAGGAGTTACAGTCCTGCGTAGCTTAGCAACAATTGGCGCGACGTAGCCCGAGATACCCAACGTCGCCGGATACAGTGCGGAGCTGAGCACGACAGCAGCAGCATACGCGCCAAGCGTCGAGCCTATTTCTTGCACACCAAACGAAGCAAGAATCGGCATCAAGTCCACGCCCTGCTTGATCAGGGCGTAGAAAGCGCAGACCACGCCGACACCAGCCAGACGAGAGCCCATCATGTACGCCGCCCCATAGTTGTCAATCACCTCCTTTGCCGTCCCCATAGCTTTGGCCATAATGCCAGAGCCGGAAAGAGCCGACGACGCAGATGAACTCGCTCGACTACAGCAAGTTGTGACACGCACAAAACACACGGTAACAATCCACACGGTCAGTTATGGGCCTCCCAACTCCGTATCCAAATTAAAGATACCCCAGCGAGACAACTACTACTGCTACTACTACACACGCTGGTAGAGCCCCTGTCAGGTTCGAAAGCTGCACGCGAGAAAGCGCTGGAAAGATCTTGGCCACGCCAGCAGCGACAGCCAAGTCCAGCGGCAGCCGGAAGCGACGGAACGGGCGACTGGCTGCGAACGCCAGTGCGAACTCCGGGGACACGTCGATCCCAGCGACCGAGAGCACGCCGTACGTGGCTCCGATACTGCCAATGTCGGACGCAAAGAGCACAGCGATGGTCTCGCCCGGGTGTTTCTGGATCGAGTCATTGAGTTTGGCCACAACGCGGTCCACAATCGGGACTCGGGGCGTTTTTGGCGTGTGTCGGTCGTGGTTTCTCTCAGGTCGAGAGCTACCGACCAAGTGGCGGACGGCGAATAGAGTGTTGCTGCTTGTCCCCACACGGAGAAATGCAGGCTGCAATCGTCTCGTGTGCAGGAGAGAGAGACTGTTGACGCTGCAGCGCATGCGGAGCGACAGCAACGAGGTCGCGGACATGACAGGCAACGGCAGAGAAGTTGTGAGTGGTACACTGTACCACTCACAGGTTTCCCCTCCCCTTTTTTGAACAGTCAGAGTGAATGTCAGACGGCAGCGCGCGCGCACTTCCAAGTGCAAGAGGCGACGGCGGCGAGTCGCGTCGCGAGCTGCTTCCTTCTAGAGGTGTCCACGGTCGCTCGCATCGAGGCCACAGCAACGAGAGCAGTCGTGCAAATGTCTCAAGCGCGACGTTGTTTCCGAATGACGTTGTAGCCAAGTATCAAGTGACGAAAGTGTCGTGGAGGGGCAAGTACGAGCGCATCTTGGCGATCGCGCCCACGTGTTTCGGTACGATGGACCCGAAAGACTGTGAAGTTACCAATACGTGGCCGCTCTCGGCGCTACTGACTGTTCGTCTCGACGCGTTGGACGTCCAGAGCTTTGCGCTGGTCCTACGAGGTGCAAAAAAGGACGAGCAACTGAAGTTACGCTGTCGTTTTCGGTCGAAACTGCTGTCGGATCTGTATCAAGTCAAGGAACAGTACCAGTTGCTAGATGTGCGGCCTGACGCGGGCTTTGAGTGCACCAAGTGGTTGCGGGATGGCAACACGCTGAGCTGTGAGTTACGTGTGGGGTTGAGTGGCGTCACTGTCTTTCACTCCGACGTCGTGCGGTCGACGTACTTGTACACGGAGATGGAGCACTTGACACTGCTTACAGACCCGGAGGACGGGCTCGCTATTGGGTATACAGGACGCAGTAGGTTGTTCTTTAGTCCTGTGAGAAGACAGCTGTACCATTGCATCCATACAGCCGCTCAAGCTATTGGATGTGAGATTCAGATGAAAGAGAAAGCGATGGCAGAGCAAATTCAGGAAGAAAGAGCGGGTTACGGGCTGAATCACGGCAGGCCGTGTGTGCAGTTTCACGTGATGAAACGAACACCAAAGCACAGCAATCTGCGTGCACGCATTCTGTCTCTGCACGAGAAGGTATTTCTCGAGCTGGATGAGAAGGGGAAGGTCGTTGCATGCTATAACTACTCGGATGTGTACGTTCTCGTGCGAGACGCAACGAGTGCAGAGCGATTCGAAACTCATTTTCGCAACGACCAGGTGCGGACTTACGTGGCAAAAGACCGGGATGATATCTTGAGTGCCTTCTACGACATTTGCGTAACTTGTGAAGAGAGTCCCGAGTTGGTTATTACCAGTGTGGGAAATCAGCGCGGCCTGCGTTTTCTACCTGCTTCTGCTGTGGAAGATACGACCGAGTCGTTGTCATTTTTTAATGACCCTTCAATTGGAAGCTGGTACCTTCAGCGCTTTGGATCAGTGAAGAAGCTCGGGAGCTCACTAAAAGTTGGCGACAGAGGGTACGTATCTTCTTGTTGTGTAAGTCTTATGGCCTATGTCGTTTAATGCTCGCTTGATGTTTAGTTTTGTTGATATTGTAGCTGAATTCAATGCAAACGTTCCTCCAAGCGGTATTCCATATAATGCAAAGAACGTGGTCATTAGCGATGCTTTGCGGCCAATGTGCGCTCAACTCTATTGCGTTGCAAAGACGAAGCCCGTTCCGGAACGCTCTGCTACGATTTTACTTCAGGCACTATTCCGCATCTCATCGTCTTACTACGGTTTTCGTGGAGTTGGACGAGCTGACAGGATTTCGGAGACGATCACGAATTTGTTAATCAGTGGCGAAGAGTTTGTTGTATTTTGGACAACGCTTCTATTGAGACGAATGATGACACATAGTTCCGTGACGTCGGCTAGTAAGTTTTGCAAACCAACGTTTTTTGGTTACGATTATCTACTGAACGAGTGTTTCGTCTATTTGGTTTTCAGACTTCGATCCGTCCTTGTTGGGAGATTGTGACGAGATAGAAACGTATAACAAGAAGGTTTTTCTTGCGAACCCGAACCTGGCGCAGTCTCTCATCGATAGTCTGGAATGTATTAATGCGGACTCGAGCGGTGAGAACACATATCTCAGGTCAAAACTTGGCCCACTTGCTATGATGGGGTTGCTTCAGGCACTTGAGGTCTGTCTTTGCTCGCGAGCTTGTACAACTGGCTCAGCCGAGTTTGCCTCCTTGGTGAAGGGAGTGGCAAAATGTTACAACACACTGCTAAAGGAGCTTTGCCACTCTCGCTGTGCAACTACCGTCGAGGCGTGTACGTTCTACTGACCTTGGCAACTTTTGCGTGTTTTCGAACAATTGGTGACGAATGTTCATGTCGTTGCTGTTGCTGCCTTTAGGTACTATGCTGCTGAAGACTACGCTCGAAGAATGCGGGCCTGGTGAATCGTCGGCCATTCGGAATAAAGCGCTGACAGAAGGTATGGTGCTGGAGCATTTTTACCAGGCACTGTTTGACCAGTCATTTGACCAGAGGTGTGTAAGTCGATACATGGTGTCCATATTAATGAGCCATCACGCTGCATCAGAGCAGCTCCTGTCACGGATGATCCCTTCGGGTCTATTTCGGTTGTTGAAGGAAGCTCCTGGTACACTGGATCAGGCAGTGGCTTACGACCGACTTGAACGCGAAGCCATGGAGGCAGAACGGCAAGGACGCTTGCCGGTGTACAACTGTGATAGCTGCGTGTCTCCCACGGGCGGTTCGACATGCCAGAATGAATTGAATGATTGGCTTCCTGCTGGCGGGGTGAGCACTGTTGCAGACTCAGACGCTCGCGAAGAGACGATTCCGTCAGAGACCGCGTCCGTTGATGACCAACACAGTGCACATCAAGAGATTCACTTGTCGTCCGCGATAGGCTCACCAGTATCGAAGGCTGGCGCATCGCCGCCAGTCGAGCAAATACTAATAACAGAGGCTCGTGATAACGAAAGACCAATAGGAATTGGGCTATCGAAGGCGCGGACGTTGCGCAAGCTGAAAAGTTCTGTCGACAATACAGGCCTTCGATCTGCAACGAAAACAAGAGATGAGTCCACATCACGTAGCTCCGGTTTCCACGACCCAGCACTTCGACCACGAAAGAGAGATGTTGCATTGAGCTTCTTCGACACTTTGAGTGGCAAGAGAGTACCCCCTTTTAATGGGCACAAACCTGTGAAGGAGAAGCATTTTGCAGTGTCGCGCTCTGCGTGCGCACAGGATAATTTCTGCCTTCTCTTCCATATGATGAGTCTTAATCATGAGACCGTCGACATAATCTGGAACTCGAAAACTCGCGAGGCGCTTCAGAAATCTCTTTCCGCCGCAATCCAAAGCTTCACTCGATTCCGGCATACTGTCGGGGGCATGAAGACCCGATGGAATTATGAAGATTTTAGCGTGTCGTACCCAAGCCTAGCTCATGAGGTAGTGGTCGCTGGGTGTTACATCAGAATTTTGGCCAACTTAACTGAAAAAATGTCATTTTCCAAGGCAGCTGCGGACGAAGACGGATTCACCACGTTGAACCCGGAACAGACCTGTGTAAGAGAACCCGCGGTAGTCCTGGTTGCGCTTTATGTGCGCATGCTCCGAGAAAGAGTTCTTGCTGAGTACAAGAACGACTTGGACACATCAATCCTTTGCATTAAGAGTATGGGTGTTGTGGCTGCTGCTCATGCTGGATGTGCAAATGCCATGGGCTCTGAGGAAGCTGAGCATTTATGGACGGTGATGAGTGAGACAGTGCATGCTTCGGTTCTGGAGAGCATCCTCCACACGATGCGCGCGTTGTGCCAACACCCCGAAATTGCGCGACAAGTGTTACGCAACAATCGCAACTTGGAGATGACATTTCAGCTTCTCCACTCGGTGCACGCAACTGATCGTGGTACTGCCGACATTGTTGAGCCCAGAAGACTTTGGGTTCTCGAAACTGATGGAGGCGAAGTGCTTGGATCTTTCAGTGTGAATGAGCTCAAGCAAAAACGCGACGAAGGTTATGATCTGAACTCATACTGGGTAAAACGCCGGGACGAACCATCATGCGAGGCATTGATTACCAGGGCAAAAGTCATGGAGATCGCTCAGTTGCGTTGGGAGGTGGGTATATCTGGGGAACTTCGTCCGCTGCAGATGGCACACGACGCGATCAGCATCTTATTTTCCATAGCGCGCTGCAACTCGTTGCATTGCGACAACAATTATCATGGCAGTGACTCAATGTCGCCCATATTTCCTTGGCCTCTAGGGCAGACGATGCTGTGGAAATTCGTCAGGAAAATTATTCCTGTTTTGGTTCGCAGCAATCATCCTCAACTTTGGGAGAAAGCGGCATCACTTCTGGAGTTCTTGTATTCCGATTGCCAACGGATCATTGAGATTGAAGAAGACACTACAAATCGTGGATCCTTATTTTCCTGGGGTTTGTTCTATTTGGCATTTACGGTCGAGGCATCCGATTTCAGTGCCATGACAGGTCTATTAAAAGCTACTCATCTCCGTCAGAATGGATTTAATGGAACGAGTGCATTAAACGGTATTTTGCCTCAGGGCATGATCAATTTGCTGGAGGACTCCACCTCGTCTGAGTTTACGAACGTCTTCTGTGAGGGTCAACAGTCTCCTCAAGTCATTTGGACTGCTGATATGCGAAAGCACTTGCGCACCCTGTGTCGAACCCACTTGCAAGACTATGCTGATATATTGGAAGAAGACGCGTCTCGTGAGTGGCGTTTTTGTGCCATGGCGCCGGCCGTGTTTCCAGAGCTCTCCAACGAGTTATTGTGTGGTGGGCTTTACTTGGGCCAATTTTGTGAGATGGAGACTTACACTGTCTCGGACCCTTTAGATTTTACTGACCAGCTGATGAAGGAGTGGCGAGCCGAAGCAAGCCGACGAGAAATCGCCATTACTGTTGCTCAAGCACAGCAAACTCTAGGAGTTACCGACGTCAAAAACTGTGACGCCACTCTTCGCGCTGGCTTTAAGAAGAAGACTAGAGCCCTGAAAGAGTCGGACAACGGTTATGCCGAGAGGTATACGCGACAAGTGCATTAGCTGTCACTTGAGTTACCGGACTAACAAATGTGTGCATGACAGGCTAGATCAACTCCGGGAGGCATACCGAGTTCTCACATGTCCACGGCTGACTTTACTGTCTGCCGGACACGATCCTTGTAATTTACAGCTACTGCTGCATTCCTTAGTCATTATGTGCAAGCACTATCCCGAGTGTCTGGTCGATTACGAGTTCGACGCTTACGACCTCCTGCTTCCTCTCTTGGCTTCTCATTGCTCCGCAGATGGAGTCCTCCCAATCGGCACAACCGAGGGTCAGACGCTAAAGATTTCCGTTTGTGCAGCGGAGCTTATCTTCAACACATGCGCAATATCAGCTATCAATTGGGAGCTGCTCCTATCACACTCAGAATTGAGTACGTTAGAGAAAGTGGTGAATTTCTGCATTGATTCAGTTGTTGGCTGCGAGACTGCAGTGAGCCCTGAGTTGCTGAAGGTGTGTCTGCTTGTATTCCAAACGATCACTGGTCTATTGGCCTTTCCTCGGGGTCGGGGCTGGATCGCGGAGTCATCGACATTGCCGGTGGATATGGTTCGTATACTTTGGGTATGGAATCACGCTGGACAGAAATCGTATATGCTAGCAAAGCTCACACAGCAGGTTCTCGAAGGTACGATGTGGTGTGATGTTAGATTGTGTTGCATGTCGTACAGGCCTTAACGGTGTAAAGTGTTATGAAACTCAGGCATTTCAAGGATGACTGAGTTGGAGAAAAATCAGACACGTCTGGTTCAGTATGGGATATTGTGGCAACTTTTTAAACTCTTCTCGACGTATGACATAGAGCTCGACGATGCTATAGTTCATGCTCGATTGCAAGAAAGTTTTGTTTATGAGGAAGAAGAGTTTACAGCTGTGGCGTTAGAAGTTCAGAATATGTTAGCCGTCATGTCCGTTCGTGCTCTGTGTAGACTCGGGGGTCTGTTTGCTGAAGACAAGGGGCTACAAACTCCGCTTAACCCTCTCGTTAAGCACGCTGCAGACGCGCTGATGACTCCTAATTTGTCGCAGTTGCTGCTACTTAGCAGTCATCACGATTTTTTGAAGATCTTCCACGGAGAATGTGAATCGTACACACTATTTTGGAACCGTGACATGCGCCAAGAGCAAATGAACTTCGTGTCGCCAAGGGCCAGTCTCGAGCCCCGTGTTTGTACAGACGAAAATTGCGTGGAGGCTATTGAGTTCCGATTTGTGTATTTGGCAGACTTGCTGTATGTAGGTGGCATGTACGTCAAAATGCTCATTGGAAGCATGCAAGTCATCGAGAGAAGTTTGGTTCCGGTGCTTCTGGATGATTTGGGTCTCACAGCGACATTTTTTGAGGACTTGTTTTCTTTTGTTGATAATGGAGAGCTTACTTGCCCGCAGCTTGTAACTGAGGAAGGGGTCGTACTAAATCTTCCGCCATATGCTGGTTGGAGCATTGACAAAGAGCGGCGAATAACGGCGGATCGCGTTACTGCTCTGAAATGCTTGTCAGTCACAGCTTCCGTAGCCCCGGTGCTAGTAGAGAAAAGTTTGATAGCAAACAAAACTGCAATGAAGATGTTGATGCGACTTCTGTTTCCACCGGACAACGAAGTCCACCAAACCGAAGACGCAAAGAAATGTCTCGCACCGAACCCGCTGCTGTATGTCCCATGTCGGCTGCATTGTATGGCGACACTACAGGTGTTGTCTACACTGCCAGATTTCGGGACAGTCTCTTTAGAGTTTGGCATATGCCACATTCTTATCGAGTTGGTGCATGTTTGCCAAGACGTTGGTCCAGAGGCACTCGGAATCATCCGTAATCTTTGCGCTAACGGAGCTGGATTGAAGTGTGCGAGAAAAATTCTTCAATCGGGCATTTATTTAGAGTTTATCGGCTGGCTGTTGCTTGTGAGGGAAACCATTGTTGATGAAGACTTCGATGCTGCTGAGCGATTGCGCATCCCGTCGGCAATGATTCTGTCGGAAATGGTCAAGGATGGAGCACCACTGAATATCGAATCGAGGCACGCACTATGCCGCTTTTTTCCTCCTGCGATCGTTCGAGTAATAGCTGCAAGCCCAGAAATGATTGTGGAGTATATTCTGGTACGCAGTGTGAAGCTGACGCTGTTCATATCGTATGCTCATCCGTTTGTGCTGTTGTTATGGCGTAGGCTGACCATATGACACCAGAGCTTGTGTGGAACGTTGATTTCCGCAACCACCAACGGAACAGTATCGGCGATTTCCTCGATATCTACTTCTCATCAATATCAACCACCCAAACGGACGATGGTGAGTTCTTGTCGGTGGTCGACTCGTTCGAGATCGATTACAGCTCGGTTTACCCGGCTCTTAGGGCTGGCAACGTGTATCTCACGCTGTTCATGGAGGACCCAACATTCAGTTTGTACGATCCTTTGTACGTACTTGATGCTTGCCAGTAGATGTACTTGCCCTGTATTGCTGTGTGATGACGCTGACGCTACTCCGTGGCGTCTAGGTATTTTATGACGTGCTTGTGGTCTGAGTTCGAAATCCTGTTTCGACAACTCGCTCACGTGACATCAGCCCTCCGTGCAACGATGGCACGTGTGGATGAAGAGATGGTCCAGCGGGATATTGACGCAATCGATCTAGTCGGGTCGTCTCTAGTCTGTCTACTTCAGGTGATGCATGGCCATAGTGTCGATGATTTTCTACTGTGATGACTCGTTGCTCACGTCGTTATGTGCTGTACAGGTTGAAACGTCGACTCTGGACAAGATGGCGGAGCTGCAAATCTTTGCAAAGTGCTGCAACTATCTGAACGACACAGTCCGTTCTGAAGCTTGTGAGCCATGCGTTATTAACGTAGTGCGTATCGTACGAGTTTGTAGCATGTCCCGCGCTTGCATTGCGTCGGTGCAGCCGATGTGCTCCACGTTGTTATCGTGTCTGATGGCAATCGCTAATCCCGTCCGAGGAGGTTCGCTGCACTATGAGGGTGGCTTTGTTCTCGAGATCGTCCGACAGATAATTCTAAATTATCCGGAGCACGGCGACCACGATGCGAGTGCAGGTATCGTGTACCTTGCGAGTCGGCTGAATTTGTTCGGGTTCCTGTGTAACATTCTAGACAGTCCTGGTGAGATTGGCAACGTTAAGGAGCCACACATTGTGCGCGCTGAGGCTATTGAGATATTGAATATGCTGGAAAAGGTGCGGATATGTCAATGTAGTCGGCCACGACTGAAACGACATGTAGCTAACGCTCCACTCTTATTGTTTGTTGTTCTTAGGACCGTGTACAAGCAACCACCGCTCACCAAATATTGAAAAAGCACAAGAAGTGGCAGAAAAGCTACCGGCACGAAGCCACCGACGTGATCACGTCCATGTCCATCGAAGACCCATTTATGCAGACCTTGTACCCCAAGGCAGATCACATCATGCGCGAGTTTACGCGTGCGCAGACACGCCAAAGGTAGTGTGTCTCGAGGGTGCGATTGACACTGGATTCGAAGCATAGCTTTTGTTGCCATGTGCTTGTATCGCCATCCGTGTCAATGGGCAGTCCGAATGCGAAGTCACATGATCAAGACGGTTGGACAAAGTCGCAAAGAGGTTCAGCGGCCATTCAAGTTTCGATGCGTTCACTTGATCGAATTGACAGTAATGAGCAGATGCTGGCACCGATCATTACCGCATGCGTCCACTCATAGTCGCAAGTGCTATCAATGGTGAAAGGTTGGGCACATGTGTCAAACCTACTGACGCCGTGGCTGCTTGTAGTCGCTAATGACCAAGCCATGAATTGATGCCTGGTTGACGAAAACAGGTGGTGTGACTATCGATTCGGAAAACAGAATTGGTTGATGTGCTTCATAATACGCTGGTTGTGCATTTTCGTTCTTCATGTGATCATCTTCGTAGCATGACCATTTCGCAACTTGGTCAATGTGAGGTTTCCAAGCTCTCGTGCGAGTATTGACGACCATACATGACCTCGTTCGATTGGATACCATTTGTCGCGACCGCTATGGTCTAAGCACGAAAAGAGCTACGCATTTCGGATGCAAGGACTTTGTTTCGACGATGAGAATCATTTTTGCTACCCTAGATCAAATGTTCTACACGGTCCAACTTTTTTTAAACATTACGGCTAGTACGGCAAGCAGAGGACAACAAGCATTGTGTCCACCTGCGGATTCGTAGTGCTTGCCATGCAGAGTGACGGTCACAATGGAGACTACTGGCAGCCTAAGAGTGTAATACGTCAGGCATTTGTCGCTTCGTAGATTCGGAGAGCTAGATCTTGATCGATCGCAGCATGTGGCAAGCTGCCACATTATGCCTAACCTTAGGAGCTACACGACAACGACACAGCAGAAGCTTGTGCTCTCGGCTATAAGTGAAGTGACGTGGTACAGGGAGTCCCCGTATGCCCACAAAACAATCGCTATTGCTTCGTGACTTCCAGTCACACTGCTTGTGGTGTTGGTCGACCAGCATTTTTCTTAGATCGCGACTGATGGAGACAAAAAGGATCTCGCCCTTCGCTCCGAGTCGGACTGATGCTCAGTACACGGAAGCGGCAAGGGATGAATGGTGCGGTAAATTACAGGAAATGCAAAACCGTAAAGCTGCCATTACATGCTGGTCGGATCCGCGGCAATGCTGCTACTTAAATTCGTCCTTGCGCCTACTTAACTGCTCTGCGAATTGTAGATGTACACGACAAACTTGAAGGTAAGACCTCAAACTCATTCAATCGATGGGTGTCAAGGCAAGGACTTTCACGCAAGCCTACGTGAGAACATTGATGATACCATGGGGTGTGTACTGATTGTTGATACCCGCTTCTGTCTCGCAGACCCACACAAACTAGTTTATCGATTTATCCTGATCAACTGTACCGCCACTTGTGGTGGCAAATATCCTTACACTGATTTACTTACTTTAAGCGCCAACGGATCTTGAGATGGCCAAGAATGGTAGACTTCTAGCGATAGGAAGAGGCTTGTGCATGATTTTATTTGTGTCGAGAGTGGATGCATGATGCTAGCAACATAGCACCACGTATTGACATGGACAACGACTTCTTGATGGTAGAAGGTTGAGACCTTTTTGGATCGATGCGTAGTTGTTGGTGAGAGCATGGAAAAGATTCAGAGTCTGATGGATGTCTCTACTCTTATCAACCATTGCTCGACGACACATTACGCGTCGTTGCTTGTTACTGGCTCAAGACGCTGGAAGGATCCAGCGCGACCAAATGTAAGATCAGCATATACAGATCGCTCCCTGGTACAGTAAACAAGTTTTTGGGTGGCAAATTACAGGAGGAGTATGTGCAGGCAGCTGGTTGAGAACTGTGTGATCGGACAGTCAGGTGGATTGTTTTTTGATACGGGCTTGCTCGTCGTAACGAGCACACGAGTCTGGCTGATGTATTCATCATTTGATCAGTGTCATCATCACAAAAAGAATGATGTCATGTTGCGGAGCAATCTCTCATGCCATTGCTAATGCGCGACACGATGTTGCATCAAGGTCATTGTCGCATTCGGAGAGCATCACGTAAAGCATTTTGTCATGCACTTATCCACCCGAATTGACCAGGGTAAAACGAAAAGTCGTACAATGTGCTGCAGACATACCGTGTTTGGCATACAATACCCTCGACGAGAATGTTCGATGACATGCCCAAGTGGAAACAATAAGCTTGGCACCTGCAAGGGACCAAGACTTGCCAAGAGTTTTGTACATTCCCTACAGTTCCTGAGTATTGACGGATGATTTTGAGTCTAGAGCTACTAGACGTGCACCAAAGTGCAATTGCGTCTTTAATGCAAGACGAGCAAAGGGACACAAAGGGATGGATGAAAGGCATCGATTGAGCAACGAAGAGTTGCGTAGAAAATTCATGCAAGTCGTGTAGCATCACTGTCGACGAGATCGTGTCCTCAGCGCTCCTTTTCAGCAACTGCGCACTTTCAAAGGACTTACCGAGCACGCGATTTCGGCACTGTACGGATCACCGTCGATACGCCGTCAACAAACTTGGTCCGGAACACAACGTTGGCGTTGTTGAACATGCCCTCCTTCAGTGACACTACGATGAACTGTGAGTGCGAGAAGTGGGACCGAATCATCTGGCCGATGTTCTGGGTGTGCGACAGATCCAGCGCAGCATCGACTTCGTCAAGAATGTACATCGGTGCAGGCTTGAAGAGTAGAAGCGACAAAATGAGTGACAGCGCAAGTAGCGAGCGCTGGCCACCACTCAGCTCCGTCAAGCTCTCTTTCCACACACCACCAAACGATACGCGCACTTGAAGGCCGTCCAGAATGGTCCCTAGCACGACAGTAATAAGCAATAGTCAGTAAGAGCACTCTGATTTCGTCGATCGCGCAAGAAAACGTAAGCCTACCGTTTGTAGGTGGGTCCAGTTTCGCGTGCGTTCCAGGTAGCAGTGTGCCGAAGATGGAGCCAAAGTCCTTGTTGACCTTCACCCATGTTGTCTGAAGAGCCTCGTTCTTCTTCGCGTCAAGCTCCTTGATAACGGATGTAATTTTCTCCTTGTCGTTCTCGATGATGTGACGCTTATTCATGAGACCTTGATACTCTTGCTCGGCCTTCTCAATCATACCCATGACTTTTTTGTTAATCTTCTTCGACAAAGCACCTTGCGTTTCCTTCAATTCCAGCAGACGGCGATTCGCACTTGAAGGATCTCGACGCTGGAAGTCATAGTCGGTGTGTTCACGTCCGAAGAATTCCTTCTCACTTTCAATCCACGGGTGTGCTTTCTCCAACTTCTTTACCATCACCTTGGCATCGCCTTCGTCTTTAGCCGTTCGAGATATTTTGTGCTCCGCCTTCTTGCGTTCAATCTCCAGATCACTTTTCTTTTTCGAGAGAGCACTCTGACGTGCACTCAATTCCTTAAGTTGATGGTCACACAGAGTCAAATGGCTGCGTCGCTCTTCAAGCTTCTTGGAGGCATTCTCGTACGTACCCTGGATTTCAGCCAGCTTGTCTTCCACCTTCTTCTTTTCGTTGTTTAGCGCAGCAAGCTCTTTTTGAATGCTGGATATATTTTCGTTGTTCCCTGCAAGCTCCTGCTCAGTAGATTCCAATTCCAGCACCAACTCTGATAGCTCTTGCTGAGCAGCCTTAAGATCCACATCAACCTTTTGAGTCTCCTTTTTGGCCTCGGCGAATCGCTTCTCCAGAACACCAATCTTTGATTGTCGCGACTCCTTCAGGTTCGCAATGTCAGTGTCCAGAATCTTCACCTCCTCCGCCAACTGAACGACAGCTTCGTTTTTAGCAACCAAAAGCTCTTTATCCTGAGCATACTGCTCTTCGGATGCAGCAACGTCGCGTTCCAACTGGGCAAAAACACTACCCGCAATACGCTCATCAAGCAAGCGCAGCTCGTGCTCTTTCAGCTCAATCTGTTTTTCCAGTTGACGAAAGCGACCAGAATCCTAGACAACACGGTACACCCACTTAGCACTATCGCGAGGAAATCATTTCTATCAGAAGGAACAAACCTGTTTCATTTCATCCAAGAGTCGTGAACTTTCCTGGCACTCCCGTCGCATATCACTGACCTCCCGGGTGTGGTTGATCAATTGATGAAGCTTCAGAAGGATCGGAGTGCCACTGGATGGCGTAGAACCTCCTTGAAGCGTACCTGCTGGATCAAACGAATCGCCATCGAGGGTCACCGTCTTGACCTTGATATCCCTGTGGAACGTAACATTCTTCGCAAGCTCACTTGTTTCACAGATAATAGATGAGCCGAATGCATACTCCATCGCCGGAAGGAGCTCCGACTTGAAGTGAATCAATTCCATCGCTTCCCACACTTTGCCACCTTGCTGGTGGGCTACCTGTCGAGCCTTGTCCATTTTGTGACGGTCCACTGTCTTGCGCGAGATGCGGTTGAGCGGGATAATTGTGACTCGGTTCATGAGACGGCCAAACTTGAGAATGTCCTTGGCGGTCTTCTCATTGTCTACCACGATCTGATAAAGCTTTCCACCGGCAGCAATTTCTAAAGCAAGTGCAGACCACTCGTTCTTCGTCTCAAGCAGGTTAATCAGCACACCCATTACGCTCTGTCTGTCAAAATTGCGGTAAGGGTCCGTGTACTTGAAATCCAATCGGGACGACAGCCCTGATGAAATCTCATCCACTTCCCTTTCAGCGCGCACAATCTTCTGCTGCAGCCCACTAACGCGGTCATGAAGCTGGCGCTCCTCGTCGGGATCGAAGCTACTCGTAAGTTGATCAAGTTTCTGCTGCATATGCTGCAGCTCACCGATCTTGTGCTTACGCTCTTCGTCCATACTGCGGTTGTTCTTGCGTGTTTGCTCAATTTCACGACGCTTGTGCTTAATGCTTTCCTCCATGTGCTTCAGCTTCAAGTTGATCTGCTTGATCGCAGTGTTGTTCTCCTGCAACTCTCGCTGTTTTGACACGAGGCGCTCCGACAGAGACTCATCGCTTTGTCCACTCTGCTCCATACCAGCATTCAGTGCCTGGATCTGGCGCTGGTAATCGTTTGCCTCTGTTTGTTTGGCCGTGTACATCGCTTCAATGCGGGTCACCTTCGCTTTAGCTTTCTCAATATCTGTTGCCAACTTAGACATGGTCTCTTCCGTCTCTGCTCGTTGCTCGTTTACGCCTGCTAACGCACTCACTTGCTGCTCGATTGAGGCCTTGCAATGTTCCAACTTGGTGGTAAACTTGACCACGTCCTTACCAATCTTTTCCACATTATCTTTCAGCTGCTGAAACTCTTTGCCCATTTCCTTCTCTCGCTGTTGCTGCAGTACCTCGACCTCGTCTTCCACCTCTTCAATCTCGCGTTCAATCCGTCCTTCTTCTTCCTTCAGAGCTCGCTGCGCCTGCTGCATCTTTTCCACATGCTGCGCTGTATTCTTCAACGCGTCTTGTGCTTTTTGGTAGTCAAAAGCGACACAAAAGCGCTGAAGGCGCTCCATCTCAGTGTTATTAGCGGCCCACTTCAAGTAGTGCGTTTTCTCGGCCCGCAATTTCTCGAGCGTCGGCGTGATCTCGTTGGCCAAGATGCTATTGATCTCCTCCACCTTCTTCTCCTTCTTGGTCATGGTCTTGAGTGCCGCGAGCTTCTTGTTCTCGTACATCCTTGTGCCCGCCGCTTCTTCAATCATGCCTAGGATCTCGGGTGGCTTCATATTCAAGACCTTTGTGATCCGGCCTTGCATGATCAGAAAGTGCGGGTTGTTCACGTTAAGCTGCACCGAGTGAAAGAGGTTCTGCACTTGACTCACTTGGGCCGTGTGGCCATTGATCAGGTACTTGTTGCGTCCGCCAATCACGACTTGGCGAGCCACGGACATCTGCTCGTACTGCTCGTAGCCCACGGGCGAAGCTTTGGCGTCCTGGTTGTTGAACACGATCGTGACACTGGCTTTGGTCACGCCTGCTTGGCCCTGTTTGTACACGAGTTCCTGCAGGTTGTTCGCGCGCACTTGCGACAAGTTGGTGATGCCCAAGACGAAGCAAATGGCGTCCAGCACGTTCGACTTGCCGCTACCATTGAGCCCCGTGATGGCGTTGAAGCGAGGGTCGAACCCGCTGATGACCGTGCGCGTCGCGTACGACTTGAACCCGTCGAGGATGATCTCTTCAATGTGCATGAGCGACGGGGGGAGCGAGGAGTCGGTGGTTCTCCCTTGGAATGGACGTCGAGCTGGACGTCGGAAGTGGGTTGGTGGAATGAAGAGGTTGGATGGGAGGGATGTTTGGGGTGCAGGCTGGACCGAGCACGAAGTACGTACGGGTTGGAAGGAGATGATGACCCTACAGCATACAAAAAGCAAGAGAGTCGGAGCTCTCTTTGCTGCAACGGGGTTCCGAATCAGGCCATGGATTCCACGTTGAGCTTGACGAACGACGAACTCATTGTTGCTTCTAGGCAAGACTTGTAGGGGCAGTACGAGAAGAGTCCTCCTACTCTGGTCGCGAGTCCGTGGCTTACGTGCTTCCAACGTTAGTAAATTGCTAGTGGACTGAGTTCAACGAAGCTTCATCGGCGACCCTTTCGCGCTTGTGCGTAATTTGCATCGCCCGCTTGAAGGCGAACTTGTGCACCCCCACCGAGCACGCACTACGTCACGACTATATTGCGTCTCCAACAAGCACGGAGCTAGCTACAACGACAGCATCGTTCGTGCCGAGCTGAGCAACTAGCTTGAGGCTGTTCTCTGCATGTTGCTAGCTCTTCGCAAATCCGTATCCTGAACAGCTAAATGCCAGGTGGAAGTTACCGCAGCATCAATGTGCTGAAACCTTACACCAGCTGACCGAAAGAAGCTGCAATAACCTGGGCAAGAGAGGGTATCGTTGAAGGAGCGGCATCATCGAACATGTCGGACTGGTAAATCGATCGAAAAGCCGCTGGTTGAGGATGCCAGTTTGACTCGGTTGCCATGTCTCCTGCTTTTGTCGGGTGAGCTCCAGGGCGGCAGAGTGGACGCAATGTTCCCGCTTTTGCAGTCATTTGTTCGGATATTCTTACCACTCGAGATCGAACATCTTCCACAACGTTGACGCGCATAAGCGTTCACGTGCGACTATAACACAATTTGTAACGAAATGTCCCTGATCGTCCGCTATTCCTAGTCCTACCATGTATTCACATCTCCAGCATTCATTTGCCTTTGCAGCGATCATAAATGAGCAAACGGTGTGCGAGCGATGGAAAGTAATCAGGATAAACAGCTTCATGGCGTCTTCTCATACTGCGAGCTGGCTGTTCGGCTAACTCCTTCGTATGCTGTTTAGAGTTGTAGAAAGCTCCATCTGTCCATCCAGAGAGCACTTCGCGTATTTGAGGTACCACAAAAGTCGGCAAGTGTATCGTCGTTACGTACTATGGTCGGATGGGTTTCCATACATCGCACATTGCCATCAGCAGAATGTATGCCTAAACAAACTGCTACACTCTTCATGATCAACACAACTGCACAAGCAGTGTCTAAAGTCGAGCCATTAGTTATATCGTGCATTACCGATCGTAACAAGCATCTCATCGTATTAACGCTACCGATTTTCCGGACATTGCACCACACACAACCATCTGATCATCCTCAGCAATGTAAAGACTAAAAACACAGACGAACGTAGCGCCTCGTCGCGGTTGCGTTCGTAAAAAGGAGTAATTACACACCCACCCACGATCCACCACTCCAACCCGCATAAAACCCGGGTCTTTTCACCACCACGCTTTCAAAAACTCCGCTTCCACCCCACCTCCGCATATTCTACATGATAGTTTGTCCACTCCGCTGCGTCGCCTCAAATCCCCCTCCACGTGTCGGTCGCTCCCGTCTTCCCCCGTCTTCCCTCATTTCTAAAAGAGGCTCGAAAGACCCAGAGCTCCCGTCTCCAGTCCACTCGGCGTTGACTTATGCGGTTCCTGCACCTGATTCGGCCCGTCATGTGCGTGCTGCCCGAGGTGGCGCACCCGGACCGCAAGATCCCGTTCCGCGAGAAGGTGCTCTGGACGATCATCACGCTCTTCATCTTCCTCGTGTGCTGCCAGATCCCGCTCTACGGCATCCAGACGTCCAAGTCGTCGGACCCGCTCTACTGGATGCGCGTCATCCTGGCGTCGAACCGCGGGACGCTCATGGAGCTCGGCATCAGTCCCATCGTCACGTCCGGCCTCGTCATGCAGCTCCTGGCCGGGTCCAAGATGATTGAAGTGGACCAGTCGCTCAAGGAAGACCGCGTGCTCTTTAGCGGCGCCCAGAAGCTCTTTGGGATCCTCATTACGCTCGGGGAAGCCGTGGCCTACGTGGTCTCGGGCATGTACGGCAACATCTCGGACATTGGCGCGTTCAACGCCATCCTCATCATCCTCCAGCTCCTCTGTGCCGGTGTCTTGGTCATTATCCTCGACGAGATGCTGCAGAAAGGCTATGGCCTCGGCTCGGGCATCTCGCTCTTTATTGCGACGAACATTTGTGAGAACATTGTGTGGAAAGCCTTTTCGCCCACGACGATCAATACTGGACGAGGCACGGAGTTTGAAGGCGCGATCATTGCGCTGTTCCATCTGCTGATCACGCGCTCGGACAAGCTTCGGGCACTTAAGGAAGCGTTCTACCGCCAGAACTTGCCCAATGTGACCAACTTGCTGGCGACGATGTTTGTCTTTATTGTCGTGATCTACTTTCAAGGGTTCCGGATTGACCTGCCGGTCAAGTACCAGAAGCTGCGTGGACAGCAAGGCACGTACCCGATCAAGCTCTTTTACACGTCCAACATGCCGATTATCCTGCAGACGGCACTGGTGTCGAACTTGTACTTCATCTCGCAGCTGCTGTACAGGAAGTTCAGTGGCAACTTTTTGGTCCGTCTGCTCGGTGTGTGGCAGGATGTGGAAGGCAGTGCCGGACAGACTGTACCGGTCGGCGGGGCTGCGTACTACATGTCGGCCCCGAGCAATTTGGCGCAGATCTTGTACGACCCGCTGCGTTTCGTGCTCTACGTCGTCTTCATCCTGGGCTCGTGTGCACTCTTTTCCAAGACGTGGATTGAGATCTCGGGCTCGTCGGCTCGTGACGTGGCGAAACAGCTGCGCGACCAGCAGATGGTGATGAAGGGCCACCGTGACTCGTCGATTGTGCACGTGCTGAACCGCTACATTCCTACAGCTGCTGCGTTCGGTGGCATGTGCATTGGTGCACTGTCAATGGTGGCTGACCTGCTGGGTGCTATCGGTTCGGGCACTGGTATTTTGCTGGCTGTGACCATTATCTACCAGTACTTCGAGACGTTTGCACGGGAGCAGGCAGAGATGCCGCTTAGCGGCCTGTTTGGCTTCTAACTGGCTCGCTGTGAACGCGCAGAGCCACCTGCATGACTGGACAGCATTGACGACGACAACAACGAAGAGGGAGGAGAGATTGACTGCCTACGAGGGTGTGTTTGTTCCCGTTCAAGGAGCACTTTCAGGTGCTCTGCTGAATCAATAGTTGAATTTGGTTAGGATCATCAGCAAATGAGCAGCGAGATGAGAGGCCCTTCCCCGCTGCTTGAATCGTTCGTTCACGAGCGAGGCAGACGTCATCTCGACTGCTCTTAGGTGCGCGATGGGTAGTCAATTGATCTGAAACTTCATCGGGACGCTGGAGGTGTAGTTCGGCGGTAAGGTGCGAAGCAGCGTCACAGAATACAATGAACAGTTGTCCATGAGCATTGTATTTTGCCACGTCGAACGCAGCGGATGATGCGTTTGTACTTGTTACGTCAACTCGTGCACTAAAGCGCTCGGCGGTTGGGGTGCGCTGGCGGGCGACTGAACTGGTGAGGCGTGCTTGAACTGCTGCTGCCAGCGAACTCTAGTTGCCCTGGACTGGGACCGCGGGACTTGCTGCTGTTTGTGAACGAACCACTAGGTCCGCTGAGACTTCCACCGCCGCTTTGCACGAAGCTGTTGGAACTACTAAAGCTGCTCGCGCCATTGCTACTTTCGCGACTCTGGCTGAGCTGCTTCGCTTTCGCACCCGCTTTCAACGTCTGATACCACTTGTCGTACTTGGCAATGCGGTCATCCTATACACACACCAATGGTAAGTCTCGTTACGTCCGATTGTCAACCCAATGCAACGAACGCGCACCTTGTCTTTCATCTCTCGCATTAGCCTTGTAATCTGCTCCTCCTGTCGCTCAATTTGATCGTTCAAGGTAGTGTCAACCCTGCGAGAAACAAACATCAACGTACAGCACGTAAGTGCACAGGACAACAGCGAAAAAGAGAGATGCCGACGTCTAGCACTCACCGTCCTGCACTGTTTGTCTGCAAAGGAGTCGGAGCAGCACGATTCCGCTGACGTCTCCATTCCTCTAGCGCTCTCTTTATCACCACCAACTAGAAGCCCGTGCAGCAATACGCCCATTTAGCTGCATTCCGGTTGTGCAAAAGCATGAGGACACACGCACCTTCTGATTGTAGTCTGTCTTGAAACGATCCATGGATTCACGGATCTCACGGTTCTCAGCTTGTACATTCGTCAACGCTTCACATTTCTACACGAAAAGACAACGACAAACACGGTCAGACGCAGTCTCATGTGAAAGCAGACGTACAATCATACGTAGCGTACGTTCACCAGCTTCGAGTTCTCACTGCTGAGCGTCTTCACTGTGTTTAGTAGTCGAGCGATCTCCATCTTCTGCTGAGCAACCTTGTCCTGCAATCCGTCAAACTCTTCTTGTCTATAAGTTGACTCGGTTCCGCTACCGAAAGACTGTCTTCCATTCTTGTTTCGATGCGCCAAGTCGCCCATCGGCGCATCACCTGATCTGCGCGGGTCTGACGGACCGCGCCCACCCAGTTGCTGCTCCATTAATCTTAACACGAAACAGTGAGTCATTTTCTACTACACATGACGATGCACTCATCGAAACATCCGCACCGTTGGCGCTGATTTCTCATCCTAGACGCCACGGCAGCTCGCAACGTCGAGCCCCCATTCACTGCAGTGGCCACTACTCCGACCATGTTCCTAGCGTAACACAACGAACATCGTACATCAGCCTTCTTCTGCACACCCGATTACCACCACCACGCCCGTACCTCGTCTTTGCAGGCAGCAAACAAAACGAATCTCCCAACGACGACGATAAATGGCGCGACGACATGAGCAAGTTCTGCAGCACACCACACGTGACGTTTCATACTAACTTGAGCATGCATCCCTCTCTCCTTCTCGTCATCCCTTCTTCTTCATGTGTTACCTTATCTGCCGAGCCAGGACGCGACAAACCAATCTCATTAAGCCGTCTCCAGAGCTCTTCCATCTCTGCTGCCGCCACGTGCAGCTCAGTCTCCACCTTGTGTCCTTCCTCTGGATCCAGAGCTCCAGCTTTATCCTCCATATCCTTCTGCTCTTTGTCCAGATCTTCTGGCGTGTCTTCACGATCTAGAGTCTCGCCCTCTATCCCCCCTTTCGTCCCCACTCTCTCCTCCACTGGATCAGGATTCCTCGCACGCGCGACCTTCGCCCTGTACTCGTAATTCTCAGCCAACAGCATCAAAGCGTCGATCGTACGCTTTCCTGAGACACGTTGCGCGGCCTCGAGAAACTTTTCACTAGCCAAATGACCTTCTTTCTCGGCTTGGCCATACTAGAGCGAAAGTGACGAGAACGAGAGCAGTTAGAGCGTCATTACAGTGCAAAAATGTGCATACGAAAGAAGAGGTGGAGACGAATGCGTACGTCATCTTTTTGTAGAGCTTCTTCCGCGCGAATCGCGTGGAAATGCGCTTGTACGGCAGGCGCGGAACTCTCGTACTCGTCGAGCTCAACCGCTTTCCATCCCATGATGATCTGAGTATTTCTGAGTCGAAGCATGCTGATCGATATGTTGCAAATCGAGGAGCTAAAACGTGTTTGAGAGGGATGAGGTTTTATGATCGCTGATTGCGATAGTGTACGACCAGTTGCCGAAAGTGTTCGAGCGTTTTCCATCTGAACTGACCGCACTTAATCAAGCGCCTCGAGCCAGCAATTTTAAGCCAGCATCTCAGGACTCAGCGGATGGCTGGCTCTTGCAAAAAGCCAGACCTTTTGTGAACCGCCATTTGATTTCTTCCCGACAGCTCGCATCTTCTTCTGGAGCAAGACTTACGCCAAGAGCCACAGCAACAAATTTCTACGATCTCGCTAACAGTCATCAGGCCATTTAGTTGCTCAAACCCTTGGCTGCAACGACCCGATTGTTGCGGAAGGAAACACAAGTGGAGCTACTGAGCGTAATAACGTCATATTGTCGCCCTCTGGTCAAGTTAAACCTGGCAGTTCGGTACTCTTCAGCACAGCTTGGCAGTTCTCAATCATTGCGCTATCGTCGATCAACTTCCGCGTAAGAGCTCATCAAGCCAAGCAGAGCGTGATCTGGTCCAACCGACATACGACGTCTTGCAAAGGTGATGCGTCGTCGGTAAGGTCAAAAAAGAGGGCGTGAGCGGATCTCCTGTTTTCAACGAAGATTAATGACGGCGGATTCTTACCGCGAGCGCGCCATCGCGACGTTGCTCCTTATTCTTCTGCCTGGTCTTAGTCGTGGTCCACACTATCTTGGGCTCTGTAGCAAACGCTACGGTCTCAATTCGAGTCCTTTGCACGTATCAGCCCAGTACAATCGTTTGGAGCGATGTATTGCCTGTGGCGCCATTCTTTGATACACCAGCTTCATCATGAGATCAATCCCAGTTACGCTAACAATCGTTTCTGCATGTGTTAACGTTGCGCGCATGAATAGCATCATGTAGAGACATTTCCCAGCGCCACCGCCCTGCCTTCAAATCGGCAAGAGGATAAAACCGCCATTTTCGTCAACTAGTCACGATGCTGCGACAATTTTCAAGAGCATAACCTCAACAGCGTCGCACAAACGGCCTAGGACGCCCCAGAAAGAAGCTGTGTTGTGTTGTGGTGGTTATGGCGCTCCGACACCAGAAGCTCCCATACGCATCTTGACGCCAATCCCGTTGCGTGCTTGAACTAGCCCGCCGCATTTTCCCCATATGTTCATATAAAGCCAGTGCCGATTAGTATCAGACAGTACGATAGCTTCAGTAAAAGTGTGCCAGGCTGTAACAGAATACGGTCGTTTACATCATAATGGATGCACGACGTCGCGCCATTCATTTATCGTCTCACTAGCTTAGGCAAGCGACTGGTAGACAGTAGCAATAAAGCACCAAGTCGCGACACGCGGGCTAGAAAACGTACAGCTTTCTGACGCGCTTGCCCGGTCGGTATCGCTTCGTGTGGTCATTCAGCTTTTTCCTCTGCATCGCACCCACGTCTTTGACAACGCAGCAAGTACTTGACTCTTCCTTCCATGGTCAAACTAGTGCATGCGGTACTTCTAAGTGCCGCAACTGCCTCATTTGCCAAAGCTGCTGGTCCGTACGAGTACAAGACCGTCGATGTCGACTACGGGATGGACGAGGATGACGATATGCCACGTAGTGTCATCATGATGATCCCGGACGGCACGGGACCCAATGTCTTCACCCTTGCACGCACGGTGCTCGACCCGACGCTGAAGACCCGACTCCACGTCGATCCGCACCTCATGGGAACGATCCAGACGCACTCGTCCACGAGTTACATCACTGACTCGGCAGCTGCTGCTACTGCTTACTCGACGGGTTACAAGACGTTCGACGCGGCCGTTGCAGTGGACACTTACAACCAGTCAATCGGGACTGTATTAGAGGCAGCAAAAGCCCGGGGGATGGTGACTGGCATGATCGTAACGTGTCGCGTCACTCATGCGACACCGGCCTCATTTGCTGCTCACATTTACGAGCGAGACCTGGAAGACGAGATTGCTGCACAGTACGTTGCAAACAAGAACCTCGACTTCTTGTTGGGTGGTGGCAGGAAGCATTTCAACGCGTCCATGCTGGAAGACCTCAAGTCGAATGGCTACACGGTGGCAAGCAACTACCAGGACTTGGTGGACTACCAGTCTGCTCATGCCGACACAGGCGCTCTTCGCTTGTTCGGTCTCTTTAAAGAGGGCCACATGTCGTATGAGGTTGATCGGCTACGTATGAAGGCTGCGAACAACTCGACCGCTCGGGAACCGAGTCTTTCCGAGATGGTGGAGATCGTGCTTGGTCTACTGCGCAACAATGAGCAGGTGAAAAAGCATGGCTACTTTATGATGATCGAAGGTTCGCGTGTTGACCATGCATGCCACTCGAACGATCCAGGCACAGCAGCAAAGGAGGCAATTGCATTTGATGAGTCGGTCGCTGTGGTACTGGAACACCTAGAGCAGAGCCCGAACACTGGGATGCTGTCTGCTGCTGACCACGGTACTGGTGGTCTCACCCTTGGACGTGGCCCCGCTGTCCCCTACGCGTGGTACCCGACGATGTTGCAGCGGCAAATCATGTCGACTGAAGCCATGCAGGAACATTTGGATGTGATCCTGGCAAGTACCGGATGCGCTCCTGGTGCAAACGAGACGTGCAAGGCCCTTCTACTGGACTCTTCGAAGCAAATGCTGGCACAGTTTACGAACGTAACGTTTGTCACGGACGAAGACGTGGCTACTCTCGTAAAGGAGATCGCTGCAGCTGTTGATGACACGCGTGACTTGAGTGTTGTTTTGGTCGAGTTGGGAGCTCTCATCAGTTTACCTGCATTGGTCGGCTGGACTACCATTGGCCACGTGGGCACGGATGTGAATCTGTACTGCAAAGGTCCGCAGATCTTCGAGCGCATGTGCAAGGGCTCCCACGAGAACGTCTACCTGAACAAAATGATGACGACGTTTTTGGGACTGGAGCACCAGCAAGAGCTAGAGACGATGAAGCTCCGCAATATGACGGTGCTAGAGGCGCCAATTGCGTTCACGCCTTAAGCTGCAGTAACACCGTTTCGTTGTCGTAGCTTCAGTTGGTTCTTGCTAGAGTGTTTTTCCATTCAGTCTCGATCAAAATTCAGTTGACATGACCTCGTTGTTGTACTTCGTGGCGAACGAAAGGAGGACCCTGAGGGTTTTCGTACGTTAAAGTCTCTGAACCAGGACGTTACACGTGGCTCATGTAGCCATTGACTGTGCCAGTGAGCTCTAATATCCTACTGCAGTCGCACCACATGCGAGAGCGGTCCTTGTTTGCTGTAAAGTTGCTCCCTCGATGACCTAAAGGCTGAAACGGGGACAAGTTGCCTGGCAGTCACATGATCAGCAACATTTTAATGACGGGATGCGCGTCACGGGTCAGTAAAAGCGAACATCGAACAGACACCTGAGACGTGTGGGGGTCGAAGCCAGTTCGGCTTCTGAGAACATTCTACGAACGATCGTGGCCTAAGCCACGTGCAGAAGGTACGATCTCAGCAACCTGCAGATACTGCTATGGGACGTGAAAAAAGCATGCCTAAGCAAGGTAGATGTCGACCATCCTTATCAACGCCGTCGGTCAAGGCGTCACACAAATAGCGCAAGATAAAAGTCAAGCAATGAATTAATCGCGAGGGTACGCTGAATGCACCTTAGTGAAGGATCAAGTGGACAAATGGGGGACAGTTGCTGACAATGGAGAGAAAACCCAACGCGTGAAGAGCGACAGCGAGGGGGCGGTTGAAGTACCACGAGCCGTCCACGAGACTGACTGTTGGGTCCGGAAGTCCGTAACCGCCATGAAGACTTCACCGCGCGTGTTAGTCGGTCTTGACCCGTTCAATGAGCAGTGGTAGAAACGTGGCCGTGTCAAGAGCGTATTCATGGTGTCCAATCGCTCGCAGCAGCGCCGCTCCAAACACGCTGTGCGACACCACACCGACGGTTTGAGCTGTCGTAGTGTCAAAGATAAGCTCCAGCAACTTGGTTGCGCGGACTTTCATCTCGGCGTCTGTTTCGCGATGGTCGGCTCTCCACCACGGATCTTCATTCGACGCGATGCTACTGAAGTCCACCTCGGGGTATTCCATTCGTTTCTCCGAGATGCTCCGACGCTTGTCACACGTAAACACACCCAGTATCTCTCGAGCCAACTCCATGGGCTCTTTCGTGATGCCAGCAGTCTGGTTCTGATACGCAATGGTAAACGTACGCAGCGTCCGCTCCAGCGGTGAAATCACCACGTGTTGGAGGTGGAGACCGTCCGCAACTGCAGCATTGAGCACGACTGAAGCTGCTCCTGCTTGCTGCATGCCCAGAGCTGTCAGGGGGGCATCCGTGAACTTTGGGTCCCTGCCAACAGTGTCCCATGCTGCACCATACTGCGCAATCGCGACGTTGTGGATACCTTCTCCATGACGTAAGAAGACGATGAGCTTCACTTCAACTCCTTCTCGTTGTTTTGCGTCGATCTCAGCCTGGACGTCGTGCCAGGTCTTCCCTTCGACTAACCCCATGCGAGGCAGGTTCGTCGTTGGAACCACTTGACTTGAATCTCCCTGGACAAAGAACCCAGGGCGATAGTGAAAACTGGTAGACGTAGATTGCTCACCACGGACTGGAGCGATCGCGAGGAGCAGCGTGCAGACGATCAGATTCAGCATCTTGCGACTCAGACGTTGGCTGCCTTGAAGCGGTGAAAAGCCACAGTGATTTCTGAAAGTTAGGAGGAGGGATCGATCCTCTCTCTCGAACGAGCAGCTTGGATAAGGAAAAGGGATCGATGAGACACCACCATCCATCACCATTTGACTGGTGAGGAGGACAACATCCGTCCGGAGACCGAAGACGAGAGCACGATGGATCAGTAAAACCTCCTTTTTCTGCATAAGGAACAGGTCCTGGACCAGCCTGATGGCCAGCTAGACTGAGCTTTCAACCTATCGACCAGCAACTACGATACCGTGAACGCCACGTTGATCTTCTACTGCAACTCGTCCTCTCTCGCGTCAGTAAGCAACATGGGGATGAACTCTGCATTTCTAGGTCGATAGTAGCGATGACCCACTGCCGCAAAACAGCCGCGACAAAAGCCGCTGTGCGAGACAACGAGCACGCAGCGCTCGTCAACCTTGTCCAGCACCTTGTCCAGGAACGTGGCCGCTCTTGCAGCAACCTCGCTGCTCGTCTCTCGATGGTCTGGTTGCCACCACGTGTCATCGTCACTTGCTACATGGACAAAGTCCAAGTGCGGATACGCCTCTCGCTTGGAGGTGATGACTTTGCGTCGATCGCAGTTGACGACTCCAAGGGTCTCTCTCGCTAGCTCCATCACGGACACGGGAATGTCCCGCCGTCGGTGACACACCCGGTCGTACGTCTGCAACGTGCGGTCCAACGGAGAGACAAACACTCGTTGGAGTTGCAGCCCGCAGTCTTTGATCTGCTCCTCGAGCATCGAAGCAGCAGCTTCAGCCTGCTCCTGGCCGCGTGCTGTCAATGGGGCGTCAATGAACTCGAGCAATCTCTCGTACTGTTGCTGCCATAGTTTCGCACCGACTCGGGCCTTGGTGGCGTTGTGTGTGGCTTCTCCATGTCGTAGCAGAATCACCAACTTGATCCGTCGAGAGGGATGTCGGACCTCGAACTTGTCCATATACGCGTAGACATCTGCCCAGGATTTGCCATCCAAGAGTCCCATGCGCAACGGCGGGTCCCCCATCTCGTCCACTGCTTCGTCTGACATGTCCATACGAAAGAAACCGGAGACGCAGCGCAGATGGGCGGATACTGGACGTGAAGATGTCGTCATGGCGGGCCAACGTGCTGCTTGTGGTCGATTGAGATGTAGGGACTATTGTGTGGATGTGCGGGTGGCTGTTTCCTAGTAGTACTTGACGCTATTTTGGCTTGCGCTTGCAACGAGCATGCGATAGACTTGTCATGGGACGGGCGATTCAGATGTGACTGGACGGACGTGTCAGACGCACATGGCACAGTCTGGAGAAAACGTTGCGTCTCCCAGTGATCGTTTCTCCTTCGTTTTCAGCTGAACGTTTTGCAGCTGACACGACGGGATCAACTACTTGGCTCAAGTTGTGTGTTTGACCTTTACGAGCGTCTGGATCGCATCAGGCTCATTATAGCGAGGCGAGACCAGTGCTGAGACGCTGGCCACGAATGGAATAGGCTGAGCTACTTCAAGTCCTTCTTGACTGCCTTTTTCTTGCTCGACAGCGCCATCTTCGCCAAAGTGATGAGGATCTCGTAAGGCAGCTGTACCAAGCACTAGTCGGAGATGGTGGCGAGCTACAAACTGGCTCACGTGTCGATTCAGGCTTGTTCGGGCGGAGACATCATCCCGCTGCTATAGTCTGCATCGTGTCACCTAGACACAGACTGAGCGACGATTCAATCGAGCGATCAGATGGAGGTATCTCCGACACGCGTCTGACACGCAACCATGCTACCGTTGAGTCGTGCGAAACCTGTCAGCATGCTTTGTCGAGCGCATCACTGCGCGAGCTTTTTGTCAGCCCGTGTACCATAAAGACGCCTGTCCGTTCTGGCGTTGCCCACGGACGCTACCGCGAGACTTGCCCAGTACTTAAACGGTGACGCAAAGCTGATCCTGACATTCGTGTTCGTTATGGCAGTAAAAGCTTCGCAACTGTGACGATACGCGCATCCAGCTCGCTTGAGAGAGGAGACTGGATGGTCGAGACCATGCATTGATTGATGGTATTGATCGACGTACACGTGATGTACGTGCTCGGGAGACAGCTCCCTATGAGACGGCGATGCCAGAATCGATCTTTCCAATGCTGCCCACTGGCGAGTCGTAGAAGCTACCGCACTTTGCTAGCATTCTGTAACTAACACAGCGGGTGATACTTACAGCTCCACATGATCGCTCGGATCAAGCTTAGTGCTCCACAGAGCCGCTGACTACGACAACATTGTCTACTTTTAACTACGCCTGTGTCTCTCGTGGATGGTGCGCCCACCTCATGTGCAAGTCGAGTTTGAGCTTGGCGTTGTGACAGCTCTGAAAACGTCTCTCAGCGTATCCATCATGTGCGCTGAAAGCAGTTAGCTAGACTTCGTACGAACACGCAGGTCTGGGAGACCGGATTTTGAGATACGTTCGGGTTCGTTCTCGTCAACTTATCTGCCTTACTTCCTTTGGCTTGTTCTGGCAAAACCTGGTTCCTGGACAACGAAACGACCACAAATGATCAAAATTGTGCCGTCGTGCTAAACACCGACGGCCATTAGTAGGGCTCCGTCTTTCCGCGCCCCGTCCCGCGCAGGATGGGATGGGACGCAGGATACTGCGGACAAGATCAATGAGTATTTGACCTTACACAAATTTTGAAACGACCTTATCTGCAGATACATGAGCGCTTCTGTATGCGCTGAGGGTACACAAGGAAGCGAATAATGGTGGAGGTGCAAAATAATCCGCTACAGGACTGATGCTTACCTGCTACAACAAGTGTAAAAGCTGAATGCCTGTTCCAGCAGATCGCGATTTGGTGCCGCTGATGGCGTACTTGTGCAAGCTGCTCATCTTAAATGTGGCCGTAACAGAATTGAGAAGCATGACCACACTCATCAACACCAATGCAGTTGAGTTCAGCGAGTAGAGACGTCTTAAAGTACGGTCCTGACGAAGAGTTAAAGCTGTGCGATTGCTCGAAAGCTCGAAAGCGATCTTGACGCTCGCTGGAATGGTAAAACCATTTGACAAGGCTTTAGAAAAATCGTGTCACTGCCAAGAGAAACTTATCTGCCCAGATATTGAAGTCGTGATCTTCAAGTATGTCCATCGGATCGTCGCCGGGGACAACCAAATCATCTTTGCAAGCACCTAAATGCCTCGATGTATGCCTTGGCAGAATGGTCGAATTATGTCGCTAACTTCTGAATTTGACAATTAATACTTATAAACAGCTGACGCTTTCATTTTACTCTCTCTTGATTCCCAAGAATTAAATGAGTAGAAAAATAATAAAATCTTACTGGTGTTTTTTTAAAGAAGATTATAGTGTGGGATGTGCGCAGGATTATCATGGCTCATCCCACATCCCATCCCATGCGTGATGGGACGTGGGATACGAAAGATGGGACGTTGCGGGACGGAGCTCTATTCACCGACATAGCTACTTCATAAAAATTAGGCTATTGAATCAGATTCTTAAATACCAGAATGAGGCGAAATGATCCAATTAAGGCAAATAATAAACGGCCGGGTTCATTTTTATCCGGCTGGGTCTTTTTCAGGTATAGGGTATAAAGTCGTTAATTAAATGTTGCAGAATAATATTTAAAAATTATTTTAAATTGACTGTTGGTGACCCTCTCGCCAAAAGGGCATTCTCGTGATAGCTCTCGCGTTTCAAGTACGATGTACAATTCGATAGCGACTGCATTTGTGCAATTTTGTATAGTCGCACCACACCAATGACGAGCATGCTTGACGAGGTGTGCAAGGTCAGTCAAAATAGCGCCTATCGACTTAAACCCTATGGGTTTTTAGCTTCGGTGGCTGAAATCAGCCTTAACAGGCATAACAAGCAATAGAAAAAGATTGTGACGGGGTTGCACGAAATTATGGTACGTTGTACCAGGGGTGTTACACACCTGAGGTTATCCCTTTGTGAAGGTGATATAGAATATCTTATTGGTTTGTAAGGGCTGACGAGTGTCAGCCATTAGGTACGAAAGATCTTTGAGTAGGATTAAGATATTCTATAGGCTTTAACAAAATAAAATCAGTTCCCATTTTGATCTGAAGGACACGTGGCTTGCGAGCCGTCTTGATCGTTGATCACTGATCACTAAGAGCTAGCGACACCTCCTTGAGGTAGCTACTCTTGAGCACTGAGTGCTGTCGATTCACTGAATCGTTAGGTCCTCCTGGAACAGGGATCTGAAGCTGTAAAGCTTGTTGACTCGTAAAGTCGTTAGTCCTTTGGAACTAAGTTGCTCGTAGAGCGTTAAGTCTTCCTCTGACTTAAGGAGCTGTGTAGCTTCGCTACACTTGGTAGCACTCGTAGTCAATCTACGCCTGAGTCTTTAAGACTGATCCCCTGTGAGGATGGAAAAACCCACTCCCCTCTCTGAGGCCCAAAAGGTCGCGCTTGATAAGCTGACCGGATCTTTGGGTCCAGAGTACGTGGAGTTCCTTGTTTCACAAGGTCCTAAAGAGCTTAATGCACGTGTTGAAAGCTTCATGCAGTATGAAGCGACCCTTTTAGGGCAGGTCCAAGACCAAATAGCGTCGGCTATGCCTACACGCTACGTGTCTGTACCAGACGAAGAGGCTAAGCCTCGTCCACTTAGAGTGGAAGTAAAAAACTACTCCGGTTAAGAGGGTGAGAACCTCATCCTCTGGATCCGTGAGATCGAGATGGCCATGAGATCAGGTCTGATCACGCATGACCATCAACAGGTCTCGCTGGCTATCTCGAAGCTCGATGGTAGAGCTAGAGAATGGGCCTTGACGTGTAGCAAGTCGGTGGACATAGCGTTTTCCACATGGGAGTCGCTCAAGTCACAATTAGTACAGGTGTTTTCTCCACCTAACCAGGCTTACCGCGTGCGTTCACGCTTTCTTTCTACCCGCCAGGGTAAAAATGAACTATCGGACTATGTCCAAGAGCTGCGAACGCTCATGGCTGCAATGCAGTCTGACCCTCTGCCTGAAGCAGTCCATGTGACTATCTTCATGGAAGGTCTACGTACTGGCATTGCCAGAACCGAGGTTTTCCGGGTTCACCCCTCTACGTTTGAAGAGGCTGAGAGAATTGCTCTTAATGCTGAGCATAACTTCAAGTCGGCCAGAATTGGTTGGAAAGGATTTAATCCTCGCTCTGTAAGAGCAAACTATTAGGGTACCACTGCCCATAATAGGCCGGAACCGATGGATCTCAGCTATGCTGAAGATGGAGGTGAAGCTGAGCTTCAAGCTGCTGAGCAGCAACACGTCGTACGGCGATGCTTTACGTGCGGAAGCACTTAACACTTGCGTCGTGGTTAACCTTTGCGTAAGCAACGCCAGGCTACAAGCCAACACTCGACCCCAAGTCAGAAGTCTGGCATGGCACGGGGAAATGCCGACTCCCAGTAGGCGCGGGGCGCCCTACTGGGGAAGAACTATGTTCTGTTACACCTTTAGAAGGTAAAGGAATGCAGGGCTTAGCCCCAAAGAGTACCATACCTACAGGTATGGTGCGTGGATACAAGTCTGGCTTGTTGGTCGCCGAGGCGAAAATTAAGGGCTTTGAGAAGCCTTGGTCGATATTGATCGATTCTGGAGCGTCTTGCAATTATGCTCGACGCCGTTCCCTAGAGGGAAGTCAGCGTTATGCTGAGGCGCTTGCAGCGCATGAGGGTCATTCTATCACGGTTCATTTAGCGACTGAAAGTCGCGTAACTGTGCCTTAAGTTCCATTGAACTTAGGTATAAAGGTTTTAGACTTTGACAGTATTGAGCGCTGTCTTGTCCTAGATTTGGACTCGAGATATGATCTCATCCTAGTTATGGCTTGGCTTGAGCCACATGAGCCATGGATTGATTGGAGTCCAAGACCTTAGGCGCTACGCGCAATGTTCCTGGCAAAGCTTTGAAGAGTCATGAACCCACCTTCGCTAGGCAACAAAAACGCTACTGGCACGAGCCTTTGGCAGGAGATGTCAATGTGCTGGATATTGGAATGTCTGAGATATCTAACTCCAATGTTACAAGCATTAGTTTCGAGCTTAGCTCGTCTAGTGAAACGGCACGTACTCCGTTGAGTGTTACTCGTTGTGATAACGAGTCACCGCATGCTGAAAGCGTGGTTGGCCTAGGGCCGAGTCATCAAGGATGTGATTCCTTTGATGTGTGTAAGGTGGCACGTAAAATTACACCGAGTGCGGTCGGCCGTGAAAGCACCACACTCAATGTCGGTAATGACATTTTTGGCGATACGCCATTTAGTGTGGGCGGCCGTGACGGCACCACGCTTAACGCCGGTAATGGCGTTGTTGACGATACGCCGTATGGTGTGGGCGGCCGTGAGGGCACCACACCTAATGTCGGTCAAGACAAAAGCTCTCGTGTAGAACGTACTATGGTTGGTAGCAACCATGGGGACAATATTGCCCCGACCCCTAAGGGGTGTAAGGTCTCGAAGAGACGATCGAGACGCCAAGATGCTACTTTTAAGCGCCAGACGTCCTCAAAGTCACATAGTGATAATAATAATATACTATATACACTTGTTAATGGAGTGACTGGTCAGGCTGATGTTAGTCTTTGCCTTGAAACCCTTCCATCCGTGGACGCTCTTTGTGAGCTAGACGAAATGTCTGATGGCGAGTTTAGCCAGGCCTTAAAGGCAGGAGAGTTATCCGAGTTAGCGGTCATTAGACCTGATACTGAGTTGAATATTTCCTCGTTAATGGATGAGTCTGTCCTAGAGGATACAAAGGCGGCACTTAGTGCACGAAGTGGATCTTCGATCCTTAAAGATCATTTGGATCCGTTCTATCCTTTAGTTAAGGAATTTCAAGATGTAGTGTGTCACAACCCACCTTCTGCCTTACCTCCCGATAGAGGTGTACGTCATGAGATTGACTTGGATCCTGGATCTAAATACTGTGTAACACGGCAGTGGCCTTTGCCTAAAGAACAGTGTGACGTCATTGACGAATTCTTTCGTGCTAAGCACGCGGCTGGAATGGTTCGTGAGAGTAAATCTCCCCATTCAACACTGACATTTTGTGTCAAAAAGCCAAATGGCAAGTGGCGTATTGTGCATGCTTATAATAAGCTCAATGCAGCCACTATACCGGCGCAGACGCCTATTCCTAGAAAGGATGTTCTTCAGAACAATATGGCAGGATGTACATTGTACAGTGCACTCGACTTAGTCGATGGTTATTACCAACTGCTCATGCGAGCAAGTGATATTCCGCTAACAGCGGTGAGTACTCTTATTGGTATGCTCTGGGAGTGGCTCGTTATGCCACAAGGGCTATTTAAAGCCCCGTCTACGTTTAACCGGCTGGTAACGCAACTATTCAGACCTCATCGAGGCTATGCACAAACGTACTTTGATGACATTTTTGTCCATAGTCGTGCAATGAATGGGCGATCAGATGTGGATAACCACATCGATCATTTACGAGCGGTGCTCGAGTGTATGCGAACGAATAAGTTGTATGCGAACGCATCGAAGTGCATCTTTGGTGCAGAAGATATTCCCTTTCTAGGGTGCTTCATTGGAAAGCGAGGCCTTCGAGCGGATCCCGCTAAGGTAAAAGCCATAGTCGATTGGCCAGTCCCCAAGAACCAAAAGGACTTGCGTAAGTGGCTTGGCCTTGCCAATTACTTGTATAAGTACAGTGCGAATTACGCAGATATGGCTTGGCCATTGTCCAATCTCCTTAAAAAGGATGTGGATTGGTTTGGAGTAACACCGAACATGATGCGTTTGAAGCCATCAAAGAGTCTCCTTCATGCGCCAATATTGGCTTTGCCCGATCCTGATCGGCCTTTCAGTGTCGTCTGTGACGCATCTGACTTTGCCATAGGCAGTGCTCTGTTACAAACAGATGTCGATGGACGCGAACGCGTTATCGCATTCAAGTCTCGACAGCTGAAAGCTGCTGAAAAGAACTATTCAGTTCATGACAAAGAGCTACTTGCTATGAAGTACGCTCTAGTCAAATTTAGAGTACATCTGCCTGGCTCAAAGCCGTTTGTGGTCTATACAGATCATGCGTCATTACGCACTGCGACACAGTCGCCTCATCTCTCACAGAGAATGGCTCGTTGGCTTTCCTTCTTTGCCGAATATAAATTCGAGGTGAAGTACAAGCCAGGTAAGCAAAACGCTTTGGCTGATGCGCTATCGCGTCGACCTGACAATGAGCTTGCTCATGTTACGACTCTGTCGTCGTCGGTCACTGACTTAATCCGTGCTGCATATGCCAAGGATGAACAGTGTGTAGCTTTGCTACGGGCTCTTGGGAGCGATGAGTTTAAAGACTCGGACATAAAATTGTCGGCACGTATACGTGCGATGCTACATCGATATTCCATCGATAGTGGCCTGTCGTGCTATCGCACGGATATTGAGGACAACCCTCGTATCGTTGTACCTCATGATGAGAAATTAAAGTATCGGATCCTCTATAAGACACATGATACTGCTTTAAGTGGTCATCTCGGTCGTGAGAAGACTTGTAGCTCGGTGAGGCAAAGTTATTGGTGGCTTAAAATTTATAAGTGGGTGCGCACCTATGTGCGTACGTGCGAAACGTGTCAACGGGTAAAACCCTCGGCACATGCGGCGGCGCCGCTGGCTAGTTTGCCAGTACCCACTGGTTTTTGGGAGTCCATGAGCATGGATTTTGTGTTTGGCCTACCGAAAGATTCGGAAGGCAACACTGGTATTGTGGTCTTTGTTGACCGATTGAGCAAGATGGCTTACTTAGCGGCTGTGCCGGATAGCATCGATGCTGAATGTACAGCAAAGCTGTTTATCGACCGTGTGTTTCGCCAACATGGCTTGCCTGTGTCAAGTATCTCTGATAGAGACCCCCGCTTCACTGGGAAATTTTGGAAGTCCATCTTCAAGGTGCTTGGCACTCGGTTGGACATGTCCACAGCGGATCATCCGCAGACCGACGGTCAAACTGAGCGCGTAAATCGCGTCATTAACGATATTTTGCGCAGTATTTGCGCTGATACGCCTAGGCGTTGGAGCTCAATGCTCCCTGTTGTTGAGTTTGCTTTGAATAACGCTGTTCATGCCTCAACAGGCTTTACTCCGTTCAATTTAAACGGTCTCACCCACCCTTGCGTTCCGTTAACGCTATCACTACGTAAATCAGGGCTTGGTGGGGGAGAGGTTGCCGATCGGCTTGCTGATATCAGCCCTGCTACTGTCCAAAAACAGGAAGCGAGTTTCTCGCAACGCGATTAAACGTCTTAAGACATGTGCGTGACGCAATGGTTGATAGCCAAGATACCCAAAAACAACAAGCTGATGCCAAAGGTAGAAATTGTACTGAACGTTATGAGGTCGAAAACCAAGTACTACTCAATGCTAAAAATCTACCTACAAATGTAGTGTCTGCTGTCTTTAAGACAAAGTTGCGCCCACGCTTTATTGGACCGTTTACGGTCACGGCCAAGAAGGGACTTGCGTATACGCTAAACCTTCCACGCAAATTGCGCACACATTCAGTGTTCTACGTAGGCTTACTTAAGCCGTTCCGGGATCCTTCCCATGTGAACTTGGAGGCGCTTGCGCCGACGACAAGGGCACTACCCCGGATTGCTGTAGACGAATCAGCAAGTCCAACTGAGCCTCGCTCCGAGTTTGAGCTTGCTCGATCACCTGAACGAGGCTTTGCATCGCATTCAGCATGCACTGGGACTTACCCAAGGCCTCTTGAAGACCCTTCACTTCGAGAACCAATTTCTCGTGGGCCTCCACCGGTACACCGGCCGCCACCGACTTTGCTCGACGAGCACGGGTGTCGTCAATTTCATGTCGAGAGACTACTGAAACGACGTCGTCGTCAGGGCCAGTACCAGTATCTGGTAAAGTGGCGTGGGTACCCTGAATTTGAAAACTCATGGGGTTTGAGGTACCCCTTCGGCAAAACTGCCCATATGCTTTGGAGGCTTTTGAGCATCGTGGCCATGGTCGTCTCGAGGCCGAGGCCGTTCCCCGCCACTAGTGGTGCGGGTTGGCGGGTTGTTGGCCACAGACTGACCAGCACTCGCGGCTACCTTAGTAGCCGAAGCATAGCGCGTGCGCTTGCGCAATTGGCCTCTGGCCTTAAGCTTGGCATAATCATACCGAAGCTTGCGTTCGAGACGCACGTCAGCCACACTGGCACTAGCCCTTAGAGCAAAAATGTTGCTGAGGCGACGCACATAGTGCACCCAGTGAACAAAGGCATCGTCTTCTTCGCTCACTGTTTCGTCTGCGAACAAGAGAATGGGTATAGCCTTGATCGGTGGAACCGGTGTACCACGCGCTTGCATGTCAAGGCGTGCCTTGCATTGACTTTGAGTCGTTAGGTGCGGCTCCAGGTACCTCTCGCGAAGTGCCTGGCAGCTCACAACCTCCTCAGGAGTCTTAGGCCCATGGCCAATGACCCACGTTGCCAATGTTTGGCCGGCCGCTTGACGTAGACGTTCCTCCACACTGGGTGGGATGAACACATAGTCACGCTGGCGTTCAAGGGTTGTAGCCATTTGTACATGACGCTGAGCGTTTTCTTCTCCTTGAACAAGCAGTTGTTGTTGCTCATTGAGCGGGTTCGTGATGATAGTCTCATCAGACCCAGACGCTGCATACTGCGCTGGTGGCGCGCTCGCACCTCCACGTTCAGTGATCGGATTTGGGGTGTTCGAAAGTTGTGCATCAGGCATCAGTGAGCCGGACATTGTCCCTTTATCACCGCGGACACTGGTATCGCTACCATAGTCCACCTCTTCCTCTATTCCGAGGTAGTCACACAGATCCTTTGACTCGTTTGGTGATGAGGACATCGTGCTGGAGCGTACGTTACCTTGAGGTTCACCGTACGCGCACTGTTCTCGCTGAGAACACAAGTTCGATTGACGTTTTGGCAAACGTCAGTCTGGTGGGGGAGGGTGTAACGGGGTTGCACGAAATTATGGTACTTTGTACCAGGGGTGTTACACACCTGAGGTTATCCCTTTGTGAAGGTGATACAGAATATATTATTGGTTTGTAAGGGCTGACGAGTGTCAGCCATTAGGTACGAAAGATCTTTGAGTAGGATTAAGATATTCTGTAGGCTTTAACAAAATAAAATCAGTTCCCATTTTGATCTGAAGGACACGTGGCTTGCGAGCCGTCTTGATCGTTGATCACTGATCACTAAGAGCTAGCGACACCTCCTTGAGGTAGCTACTCTTGAGCACTGAGTGCTGTCGATTCACTGAATCATTAGGTCCTCCTGGAACAGGGATCTGAAGCTGTAAAGCTTGTTGACTCGTAAAGTCGTTAGTCCTTTGGAACTAAGTTGCTCGTAGAGCGTTAAGTCTTCCTCTGAATTAAGGAGCTGTGTAGCTCCGCTACAAAGATAAAAAACGTTAGCGCAGCGCCAACGGCAGAACCCACAACGCTACTGATTTTTTTTGGCTAGCAATATGGCTATCGAACTCGACTACCTCCTATTAGATATGTTGTGATGTTCTAGTCTGTGCACCCACTCCCGACACTCATATGGGCTCTTTGTGAGATTAAATTCACGGACGTTTGTATGTTTCCGACTCAACTACGATCACCAACCGCCGCGTTCAACTTCACTATGCGAATTTACTGCTTGTTGAGATAGCTGCGGCAATTCGAACAGTGCAAATTTCTCGGTAATAGCAATCGCAATTGACTAATGACGTAAGAGCTTGCCAGAAACAAACATTCAGGCGGTATGTATCGCCCCACCATAAGGGTTAGCGGTCGCGCGGATGCATCATGCTTGGTGGATATGTTGACTGTGTAGCTTTGATGGCGTCGAAAAGCGACGCCGTCCTCAGTATGGAATGTTCACAGCAGAAGGAAGAACTGGATAGAGCATTAGCCTGTTTCGCACCGATATCGTCATTACGAGCTTAAATGGGCGAGTAAATAAATAATGCTACCGGGTTGAGTATATGGGATCTATTGTTGACGAAGCTAGGCGTACGTCTGAGTTACTTTCGAGTTGCAGTGCTCCCTCTGATAATTTCCCCCCATAACTAATAACCTCCGCTACATTTTAAAGGATGGGACGTCCGCCGCCGTTGTTCTACGATTGGTCTTTACCGACCTCAGTGGCCGAGTGGTAGACCGCTGGAACTGTGCCCGGGAGGTACATGGATCGATACCCGGTGGGGTTCGATTACAGGGCGCCGGAGATAGGCCGATATAGTAGACGAGCAACCACGCAGAAGTGGCCGCCTTGCCAACCCGCGCAAGGCGTGTGATAGTTGGGTGGGCTGGAGGCCCTACTGGCCGAAAAGCCCCATAGTGTATCAAGGGGTGCGGGTCCTGTAAGGATTTCAAACTTAGTCAGAGTACTCGCAGTTCACCCCAGGGTGATCGAAAATACCGCGCGGCAATAATCTCTCTCTATGATTGTTCTTTGTGCGCTACCTAATAGTTTGTAACTAATAATTATGAAGCTAGACATTGTTTTATATATAGAGAATTTGTACCAAGTGTGGGAAGTAAACATGTTCAATACAAGAATCATGGGTGGTTTGTGTGGCGTTGGCACTGCGATTGTCATCAGGTAGACTGCAGGGTAGCTTGGACGCATAACGATGGGTTTTTCTAGGACAGGAATAAAAGGTGCAGGCACTACCTAGGATTGAAATCTGCTTGCATTTGGTCAATATGTCTGCAATTGCCTCTTCCTCTGCTTCATATCTTTTCTTTCATTCCCCAAGCTCCTACAATGCGTTCGGAATCTCTTATTATTGAGCTCTGGCTTGGCTTTCTCGTCCTCTCCAATAGAGTCAAATAGCTCATCGATGGAGAGTCAACGAATACTTACACCCTTTCTTGACCAGGAACAACAACCCCAGCAAACGACTAGGATTGCTAAGTGTCATTGAACTTAAGCGACAACCTGAACAAATGGTTCAGACAGAAGGTGATAACCCGTGTTAGTGGTCTCTGGGACCATTACTCTGCTTATTGTGGGTAGATTAGAGGAATAGAGAGGAGTGAATGATTATGGATAAGTTTTATAAACGCGTTGATCCTTTATTTATTGATTTTACGATCGTGTATCTGGCAAATATTTAATTTCTTCAAAATTTCTAGTGTTAGGTTATTTTCTGTAATTTAATCGGTATAATTTCCTACGTTTGACGCCACAATAATCCGACAGCTAATAACCCTTGCTTACTTAAAGACATTGTGTCCACCGAGGCTAAAAGTTGGTAAAGGGGATTTTGTACTTTGAGTAACTCTTATAAATTTACAGAATGACCCAGCCGAATAAAAAGAGGGACCCAACCGTTTAGCATCTGCCCAAATTAAAGGCCTGTTCACGCAGATATAATTGAGCGGCATTTCAACTTCTGCTTCAACTACTTCTTCGACAAGACGTTCAACGAGAGGTTTAGCTATCGTCGCTACTTTAAAGCACCATGTAGACCTCGTAAGTCTGTATATTTAATGCTAGATTAATTCTTGCAAAACTAATTGCGAGCCTGAAGGGTGAAGCTATTAGTGGGAGTGCGCAAGATTGAATGCTTAACTTTCAAGTCGTAAATTATTATGTGTCTGTGTGTCGTTAAATAGCGCGGTTAGTTGTAAACATCACGTAACAAGTGCGATCGAGCCTGTCCCCTTCAAAGGTATAGGCATATCAGAAGTCACTCTTTAACTAGGTCACAAATATGGTGCACGTACGCGATCGGCTTACAAATTGATTAAAGCTAAATACGATCACATGGGTAGATGCTGGACGCTAAAAAAAAGGCTTATTTTATCGGTGTAAGCCTGTTTCATGTAACTAACTCTGATGCTTGTTTATTTAGATATTCTCACAAAGGTTGACCATGTTCGTGAATATTACCATAAAGGGTCATATTCAGAAACACTAATCGATTGGCTGATATGGGCCAACATATCAGCCAGCTCTAGCGGCCTGATCAACGATGGACGCGCGCAATGAGTGGTGAGCAAGTCTTTCGCCTACACTTTTGTAGATAAGCATAAATTAGTTAGGACTAAACACAGGCACATGTATTTAGGACTTATGTTCAATATAGTTTGACGTTCTACTCCTATTGAACATGTCATTCACCAAAGATTCTTCCTCTGCACTTACAGTGTATGTAAAGTGACGCGCGGCACTACCTGCAATGTTTTCAGTGTAGTTGCACAAGTACTGAAGCATTACTGTGACCTGTGCCCCGTTACACCTGGTAGCACATTGCAATCCGTCCAAGGACCGCAACCCCTGCATTCAATATGAACATGTTGGATGATGATAGTGACAGCTTCCACGCCACGCGTGAAAGCTACTTTTATTTGAGTGACACAAATGGAGTACGGTCGAACGAATGGGTTTGACCATGGGCGAACATGCCGTCTCTGCCATTCTGTCCGCACTGGACAGAGATGGTCAACATGTCGTCGTCTCCAAATTCATACAACATGAACTTGATGAGTCACGGGAGAAATTAACCTTGCTTCACCAGCGAGGTTCCCGACATGCAGAGCTGTTTGAGACAACATCAGACACATGCTGCTGTTCCCGGGGCGACGCACGCGCGTCAAACCGGTACTTCGAATATGTACATCTCAAAGTACAGAGTAGTTAAGAAATGCTTTTTGCTGAGATGGTTCGTCGAGCTGGACGACGCCATAAAGGCTTGTAACATCGTAAATGAGCAAATGCAAGTCGCATTTGCTCAGTCGAACTTGGCTGCATAAGCCAAAATCTGGGCATCAGGGATCAAGCTGCACGACCCATCTGTTCTTGGGTCATTGAAGGTCTTCACGACTCGACTCACACAAACGTATGAACTGCCATGAGCTGAGTGCAGGTCTCGATCAGAGCTTCTGAAAATCAAGCAGGGTGAGCGTGATGTGCACATTTACGACCAGAACATATAACTCCTTGCGAGTTTTATCATGGCCGACCTGGTCGCACAAACAAATTGATCACTGTGTTTATGCTGTGTCGTGCGGATGGTACCGTTGAGACTCATCTGTTCCGCTTGGAACTGGATACGCTAGAAGAAGAGATAAAAGCTGCGGAACGAAAAGACTATAGCTTGAGAGAGGCTCGTGCTAGCCCGGATTCATGTTGTCCCCCAAGATGACAGGAAGTCGGAGGTCCAAAACCTATGGACATCTGTCATGTTAAGAGCGAGAGACCTCGATTTTAAGCCAACAAGCAATTGCAGAAGTGCAATCGCTGTCAGAGGTTGGGATACTATGCTTACGAGTGCAGCGCCCTACGCACAGTGTCTCGGAACACTGAGTGAGCTGCAAGACAGTTTGCCAAGAAGGGAAAGGACGCGGGTCCGACGATGTTGCGAAGTCACAACAACAACGTGGCAGACCGTAAAAAAATCTGGGGTCAGTAGGGACGGAGCGCCTAACTGATTTAGCAACCTGGATAGAATTGCAAATCAAATAATAAAAGTCGCTCTGGACCCACAATAATTTTATTTCTCTGCACTTGGTATAGGGTGTTCCTCATCAACTCGATCTTATAAGCCTCTAATGAATTGTCACTTCGTACCTAAGTTGACTGTGGGGCGTCGAGCAACTTTGACCGTCGCCATTCGATGGAGGATTGTAGGCTCAAGTTCTTTAAGCGCAATATTCCTCCTACGACGATGAAGGTTTACCTTGCAACATGTCATCGATAGCAGTGATGAACATGTGGTGGGACTTCACTACACGCTAGGATATTTGCAGTAAACGATGATTTTATCGTTCATGATTTGATGACAAATCTGATGTCATATTAGGGTTACCCTGGTTTAGAAGGTAAAAGCCATGGATAAGCTCG